GACCTAAAACCAACCAATTTAAGTCCTAATCAGACAATCCTGACCCTAAACCGACCAATCTAGACCTGTTCTGATCGATACAGACCCTAAACCAGACAAACCCAGCCCTAATCAGACAAATCAGACCTAATCAGACCTAAAACCGGCCCAATCCCGATCTAAATTGACCTAAACCGGACTCTATTGTCCTAAACCGGTCCTAGATTGACCTAAACCGGTCTGGGTTATCCCGAACCGGACCTAAATTGACTCGAACCGGTCTGAACCGGTCCAATTGACCCCAAACCGGACCTGAACCGGTCCAATTGACCTGAACCGATCCGGTTTTCCTAACCCGGTCAACTGTTGACCAGAAATTGGTCAACGTTTGACCTAACCCGACTAAACCGGTCCGATTTTAAATCGAAACCGGTTCAATTAGACAATTTCGGTTGAACCGGCTAAACCGGATCAGATCCGAAAACCCTAATTCGGAACGCGGAAGCCGCCGAGTTAACCCGAGTCAACACGGTAGTTGACTCAACCCCGAAGACAACTCAGTCGTGACTCGAACGAGTCACGGCCAAGACTCTCCGGAAACCACCGGTTTTCACCGGTTTCTCCCCCCCAGAACCCTAGATCTAACCAAATTGAGCGAACTCACCTCCTTGGACTCTGTACTCGACTGAGTAACTCAGTCCGAGACAGATCCGGAAAACCTACCTTTCTTCGCCGCCGATCTGAGCTTCTCCCACCGGTGCAGACCGCCGATCTCACACGGGATGGTTCTTTCGACTTAGTTTCAGACGCCTGAAACACCTCGCACACCGATCAGAAAGTTCAGATCCAGAAAAAAAAACGTAGCAGATCTTACCTCGGCTTCGAATCGCCGATGAAACCACCAGAACTCGCCTCAACCAGGCTCTTGATACCACTTGTAGAGTATTTGCCCGACGAACACCTCACCGTAACCACTCCGACGCTCAAGAACGAGAGAGAACGACACAGCGGAATAACGAGTTCAGCACCGAGAGAACTCGGTGCCTACGTCTCGGGAAGAGGATCAGCAGTCTACTAGGGTTACAAACGGAGAGAGACCACCGGATACCGACCACCGGCACCGGAGAACACGAATCGCAGATTCGTCGAGAGAGAGAGAGAAGAGAAAGTTCCAGAAAACGAAAAACACCGTCTGAGCCAAAAAACACAAACCCTAGGGCACATTAATCCGCCCTTACACAAAGACCGAAATACCCTCCGTAAGCCTCTGAGAGAATCCGAGGCTTTCAAACCCTCCGCTTCGTCTGGAGGCTTTTGCTGAAGACAAGCTCCAACAATCTTGATTACGATTGTGCCTCTAAAACCCAAATTAATCACATATTAATTAAGCATCCATGATCCTACAATTATTCCTTCCTGTTTTGCCCCTCCCTTTCAATCTCATTTTAGTGTTGAGCTCTTTTGTTCGGTGCCTCGAATCCAAAATTCTCTCGACATGCGCCTAACTCCCAAGCATACCCAACTTTATCGCAATTATTTTCCGGGCATAATTGTAAAATTGACCCTTGTCAATCTTTTCATGCCAAAAGTAAGTTCCTTTACACACATATATATACACACACACGCATATATATATATATATATACACACACAAAACTTGATGCAACCAAAACCCATTTCAGGTGTTAATTTATACATAATTTTATATATTTTTTTGAAATATTTTGAGTTTTATTAAACATCTTATTTTGGATTCTATATCTTTAAGGCGTTTGGTTGAGAAAGCGTACATTTTCATTATGTACGAGTTATCAGTAAAATCATCTCTATATGTATAAATTTACTTGAGCATATTTTTTTTTATGGTAACATGATTTTTTATGGTTATAAATAACAATAACTAGTGTTGTTCTGGTTATATCAGACATGATTTATAGGTCGATATTATATTAGGATATCTCTATAACTAATATCTGTCAAAGACTCGTATAAAATTGAAACGACATGTAGAATGTTGTAATAAAAATAATAAAAATAATATATCACTTAAATCATTTTTTTAATTAGCTCTCACCGAGTATTTAGCCAGATTAAACTGTTTACGTCGGGACAAAATATGTACACGTGGTTCATGTGTATATACATATATATACATACACACATACATCTATGTGCATATATATATATATATGTGGATTCGGCCGTCCATTTGTTATTTGTCTTAGATTTTCCACGTACGAATGTTATGTTAGGAGCCCTCAAATCTCTAGTTGGATTTTTGGTGATTATATACATATGCGTGAATACAAAAGTTGCTATTTATAGTTGAACATGACGACAAAGATGAAAACGGTGGCTTAGGGAACCGAATTCGCCTTTGGGGTCTTTTCATTTCTTTTAAAGAGGCTTAATAAATAAATAAATAAACAAACAAACACTAGGAGTGTTTATGGCTAATTTAATTTATTGAATATGAGATGTAACTACGAGATTTGGTGCGTATATGGGAAATCTCCACGTCACTTTCACTCGGACAAACCCCATGTAATCGGCAAAGGCCACGCATTTTGATGGGTCTATGCCAAATATTTCCTACCAAAAATAAATGCAGACAAAAATAATTGGTGTTTATCTTGTTCTTTGCTTCATTAAATGGTTCACGGGTACATACAAAATTACGTAGGAAATTTGGGAAAGATAATATAAATTTTTATAAATCGAATTTTATTTTTAAGAGTGGTTAGTAATTGCTAAAAAATGAAAATAAATAGCGATCAATATTTATATAAATCTAATTTTTATTTTTTTTCAAATGGAAAAAACAGAGACCAGAAAAAGAGAGCACAAAGCTCGTGACTTGTGTGAACCGTGACGAGTCATGCGGCATGAGTCTCACGCGCGCAGATGCGCGTGGAATACGCTGTCCAATTGTCGGAGAGTGGAGTGGCCGTTGGACCAGTGAGTAAGAGAATCTAAAGAGGTGAAAAGCACGCGCGTCTGAAGAATTAGCAATAATTGCGGATAATGCCAAAAAAGACCAAACAAAAGCAATCTAAAACAAGCGATTATGCTTTATAAAGATTTCCCTTTACGGGGAAAGCCACTTTTTAGCTTAAAAAAAAGGCAGACCTTAAAGTGCTCCCTCGGATCATTTTAACATTACATACATACATACATACATACATACATACATACATACATACATAATTATTGAATTACAATTCAATAATGATTTTAGATTTTCCCATCTAAAAGATATAGAAGGCAATCTCATCTTTAAAAACAATATAAAATATGTTATGATTATCTATTCTTTCCGTATGTTTTTTATTTTCTCTTCCTTCAATTTTACTCTTTTTTTTTTCCATTTCAATAATAAAAAATAATCAAATTGGTCTCATTAATCATTGTGTCTACGCAAATAAGAACGTCTCTTCTGGTTGACAATGCAATAACTGAGAAAATAATTACACTTTAAATCCTCTATAATGCTTTCATGGCAATTTTTTGAATTCAAAGCCAAAGTAAACAACAAAAAGATTGATGGAATCGTTTTTTATTACAAGAAAAAAATTACTAATTTATTATTTTCTATATTGATATATAATTAAATATGTCACGCAATGTACGGCGGGATTTGTCATATTTTCCATTTTTACAAACTATAAAAGTGGTAAACCCATGGAGCGGAGACAAAGACACTTTTGTTGTTACTTATTTATCAAATCTAAAAGGATTCAGCAATTGATGACATGACGCGAGTTGACACCATTTTGGTCCATTTCTCTGCCGGCTTAAAATTTTAATTTGAATTAGACAAAATAGTTAACAGTAAATGTTAGACATTTTTAAAAAAAAATTTGTAACCGAAATTTCTGTACCGAAATTCAGACTAATATTGAGGTCGGGAATAAGTCATATTATTAGAATATACGCTCTTCTCACCCATTTAAAACTCAAATTCGGAACAAGACGTATCCTTTACTATATTGTTAATTGACCAATAGTATATTTTATTGTAAAAAATATTAAAAATATATATTTTACACAAATACCAATATACAATTTTAAACAAAACTATTTTAACATATTTTCATGTGTCATACATTTTGCACCGAGTTGAATTTAGAGATAGCTTCATAAGGTTTAAAGATATTCGTTTAGAGAATTTGTAGTAGTTTAGTTTAATTAAATTTTAAAATTTGAGTTTATCGAATTAACGTAGTTAAATGAGCTAAAATTATTAATTCATAAAATATAAAAGTTTAACTGTAATTAAGTCTTAACGATATATTATTTTAATTAAACCATTTAATCCAGCTTAATTAATCAACAATTAAACCGATTTTTTTCTTCTGGCTGAAAATTGAAAATGTATATCGTATGATATATATATATATATATATATATATATATATATATTATTCTTTCAGCCTTTTGTGAAGTCACAGTGAAAACTTTTTTTTGGAGGATTTGTGCTCAACTGTAGTGAAGTGGTGGAGAGAGATTCTCAGTGGATATATTCAACTTTCCACTATATTTCATTCAAGATCTTTGAAAAATCACTCATATCATCTTTTTCCCAAAATTCCATTCTCATCTTATCTTTGACATTTCCTCTCTCTCTCTCTCTCTCGCTCGATTGTTGCATGAAAGTGTATGTAATCTAAAGTATTATTTTTTACATAAAATACATGAATACGATGCTTTCTGCGTATATTTTTAGTTCGACAAGGAACGAAGTACGGCTTCTAGAGAGGGATTAAATGATTTTAATTATATGTAATCGAATTTTGATTGCAACGGGCCATATTTCCTGATTGAAAATGATTAAATTTGATTTTATCTCCGAATTTATTATTACATTATTATGCTTAATGTTAAGAAAAATGGAAATCACTGTGAGACACTTTGATTATGAAATGGGCCTGAAGAATCACTAGGCTGGTCTAAAATGGGCCTAATCGGCCCATTGTTTCCTCGCACGTAGCCTTTCTCCTTGTTCCTCCTCCGCCAAAACCCTAATACGACCATTGAAGACCGGGAAAACCCCTAAATCCGTGACGATGAGAATCGCCAGATTCGCTCTTCGTTCCCTGGATGACGTAGTTTCCCACAGATCGTGTCGTCCAATCGTCGCTAGAGCCCTCTCGGCCAACGCAGGTGAGGGTAATTCTTCGTTAATATGCTTGATTTTCCCTTCATTTTCGCGAATTGTGGTGAGCTGACCCAGGAATCGAACGTACCCAATTCCGAATCCAGCTCAAAATCCAGGACCCTTCGAGTCGACGGATGACTTTGAGAGGCGAATCTTTGGAGGAAATGCCGGCAACGACGACAAAACGAATGCTTTCTTCCAGCACCTGGGTCGGGCGGAGAAAGAGGTGCGCGATTGGCGGGGCGGGAGGTTTGGAGGGTCCGGTTTCTCCGGCGGAGGTTCCAACAATGACGACATCGGTGACGGCTTCGACCCTTTATCCGATGGTATCGATGGTAAATTAAAGAAAGCAGCAGCTTTTTTTGAGTTCGACCAGGATGAAAGACCGCAAGATGGTTACTCGTTCAGACCTAACGCTCCTAGTTGGGGCGATACTTACACTCGCAGGGTAATTTCCCAGTGTTCTTTTTATCGTCTGTATTGTTGTTTTAAGGTAGGGTAGAGAACTGACTGCCGTAGTAATATCACTCGGCACTGCTGTCAATGAATCGATGTATAACAACTATATGACTCAGGCTATCAATGTTGGGAATTGTATGCGTGTCGTAAGTGTACTGTCGGAGTTACGATCTTATAGCCGAAAGATTTGGAGATATTCTTCGTTGATGTCTGATAATTTACCTTCTAGTAGCAGGGGGAGTGTCTGAAAGTCCCGTGTTGCATGGTTATCATTCATTTCATATGTTGTATTGGGTTGCTGGGATGGTAACAGTTAGTGTTCTTCCTGTTTTAATCTTACCTTAATGTGTTTGCTGTTAACCTGAAGTCTTTATTTCTCAATGCAGGATTTGGATCTTAGGAAGGCGGGGACACCAAGAGGTAGGCCGGGACTGTTTGAAGTGACCAGCGAGGAAGTTCTGAAAAAAGCTGATTTCCGGGTGAGTAATAGTATGTTTAGCTTACTTGTTTTAGAGGTTGTTGCATGTTTTTTCAATATCTACAGTTCTATTCTCTCCCGAAGAATAATAAAACCTTTTTCATACTAATGACCCTTTGATTCACTATTTTCTGTCCGTTGCTTCGATATATTTATTTACCTTCTGCGAGCGTTTACGTTTCCTGCTTCCACTCATGCATTATAGTGTTTCGTCTGGCAGAATGTAAGGTTTCTTGCGAGATTCTTAACCGAAGCTGGGATTATAATCAAAAGGAAGCAGGTATCACTGGACCTTTTTTTCGCATTGTTTATGAAATGCAGTGATGGTGTTTGCTAGTCGATGTTTACGATATCGACTCTTTTCCGGTGTGTAGACTGGCATTAGCGCAAAGGCTCAGAGAAAGATTGCGAGAGAGATAAAAACGGCTAGGGCTTTTGGGCTGATGCCTTTCACAACCATGGGGACGAAAGCGTTTGTTTTCGGGAAAACCATGGAGGCCAAGGACGAAGATTTTTCGTACGAAATGATGGAAGATGACGAAGATGATATGGATTCGGTTTGAATGTACAAGTTCCGACAGGATTGGAGCTCCCTTTTCCATCCTTAGTCAAATGGGGTTTGTTGTTTTGGAATAATGTGGGTAAGCTTACCATTGCCAAGGATACGAGAAGACTGTCTTTGAATTGCTGCTGTTTTGACTAAGTCTGGCTTTGTATCTGCAGATCTATGGCAAGTGATTCGACATTGTTATTTTGATCTTGAGACTACTACTTGTCAGGTTATGATTGTTCCGTACCAATAGGTAATACAATTAGATTTTTTTAAATCTATCCGCGTTTAAAAAAAATATCAGCTATTTAATTCATTAAAAAAAACTATTCGTTTAAATTAATAGTTGATTTATTTTTATTATAAGTTTAAATTATTTTTTTTTAATAATTTGCATAATTGATATTTCTTTTAAGTTTATCTCTATTAGTAACGACTTATTTTTTTTAATCTTAGTATGTTAATATATGTTGTCTTTTCCTTTAATATAATGTAAGAATGTAAGAACGGACTCAATTCGAATGAATAATTTCGGGGCAATTTGGTAATTTATAGATGGACAAAATGAGGTATAAAATCACATCTAACGTCAAAACTAATCGATTGTCGATTCGTCTGCAAGCAATTCCCTTAGTCCAGTTTCTGCACATTTGGAGACGAGAAAGCAAAGAAACAGAGATCGTAAAGGCTACACATCCCGTCTTGTCTTCCTCTTTCGCCGCTCCAAAACGATGGTGAAGGAAGCAGAGCTCATCTTCGTCCCAGTACCCAGCACAGGACACCTTCTCGTCGCCATCGAATTCGCTAAGCGTCTGATAGATCTGGACCGTCGGATCAACACCATCACCGCCCTCCTCTGGAAAACTCCCTCCTCTCCTCACGCCGACGTCTTCGCCCACTCCCTCGTCGCCTCCGAGCCTCGAATTCGTCTCTACGCCTTGCCCGATGTCCCCGACCCTCCGCCATTGGAGCTCTACGCCCGAGCTCCCGGGGCTTTTAACGTACAATTCGTCAAGAAAATCTCTCCTCTCGTCAGAGACGCCGTCTCAAGCATCGTGGAGTCGCGTCGCGGATCGGATTCCGTTTGGGTCGCGGGTTTGGTTCTCGATTTCTTCTGCAACCCGTTGATCGATGTGGGTAACGAGCTGAACCTTCCTTCTTACATTTTCATGACGTGCAACGCCAGATACTTGGGTATGATGAAGTATCTCACGGAGCGGCACCGGAATATTCCCTCGGCGCTCGACCGGAGCTCCGGCGAAGAAGAGCTTCCAGTTCCGGGTTTTCTCAAACCCGTCCCCACCAAAGTTATGCCGTCGGGTCTGTTCGACAGAGATGCTTACGAGGTTTACATCGAGCTCGCAGAGAGATTAGCCAACTCCAGGGGTATTCTGGTAAATTCATTCTCCGAGTTGGAGCCGGAAGCCTTTGATTACTTCGGCCGTCTGGAGAGCTACCCTCCGGTTTACCCGGTCGGACCGATTCTCAGCTTGAAGGACCGGCCAAGCCCTAATCTGGACCCGGCCGAGAGGGACCGGATCATGAGATGGCTCGACGAGCAGCCCGACTCGTCGGTGGTGTTCTTCTGCTTCGGGAGCGTGGGAATCCTCGGTGCACCGCAGTTGAAGGAGATAGCTCAAGCCCTGGAATTCGTGGGCTGTAGGTTTGTGTGGTCGATCAGGACCAAAACATCGGAGAAAACGAACCCGTACGATCTTTTGCCAGATGGGTTCGATGATCGGGTCAAGGGTCAGGGCGTCGTGTGTGGGTGGGCTCCACAGGTGGAAGTCCTGGCTCACAAGGCAATCGGTGGGTTCGTGTCTCACTGCGGCTGGAACTCAACGCTGGAGAGCTTGTGGTATGGCGTCCCGACAGCGACGGGGCCGATGTACGCAGAACAACAACTAAACGCGTTCGCGATGGCGAAGGAGGTCGGTCTGGCTGTGGAGCTGCGGGTGGATTACGTGTCAGCACACGGAGAGATTGTGACAGCCGACGAGATCGCGAGGGCCGTGCGGTCTCTGATGGACGGTGGGGAGGGACGGAGGGAGAGGGTGAAGGAGATGAAAGAGGCGGCCAGGAAGGCTGTGATGGAAGGTGGGTCTTCCTTCTCTTCGGTAACTGCGTTTATTGAGCAAGTGTTTGTAAGCTAAGACCCACGTTGCGGCGCAAAAAACAGTGGCCCACACAAATACAAAAAATTATATCTGATTGATGAATCAAAACCCGTTTAAATAATGGGTTGGGTAAACCCACTCCCTTTTAAAGAGTAGTCGCATGAATTTACACTTTATAAGGGCGACGGCGACCCAAAACCATGATTACATCAGCCAACTAGCGAAACCAATAAAAAGTAAATTAAACGAGGGTTAGTTAATGCATGTGCCTATAACACAAATTTTAAATTTTTCTATTTCATTTCAAAGCTTTATTGTAGTAAATAAATTATAATATTTTTAATAGATTTACGAATCTATATTTTAAATTTTTTTTATTGAATTTTCGATCTAACTAAATATTTTAAATAATTAAAAGAGTTCAGGTGAATGATATTCGAATCGGGATTGAGAAGTGTTTAAATTCTTTCATTTTTAATAATAATTATAAAAAAGACTCTCTATAATTCAGTGGTAATTTCGAGGTTTCTTTTATGTTTTATTTTGCTTTCTCTTTTAAGTTTCTTAACACGAGTTTAAAAACTTGATAAAAAGATCTGTATCTCTGTTTTATATTTCTAATAAATAATTTCATAATTGACCTATTTGGTTTAATTTTTCTTATTTTATTAACGATTCGTAACATTTTTCATAGATTCGTAAAGGAATTATAATACTCTTAATAAACACATGACGTACATATATTTAAAGTATTTAGTTATCGACAATAATCGTAATATCAATTGTCTACAATTCTTACCATCCTGTTCAGTAATTTTCCATTTCGTAATTGATGCACGAGGTCATTCACTGGGTCCCACACTCCACTTCTACAATTCGTGATATTTATTGAGTGCGTCGGCTGGTGAGACATGCAGCATTGCCTCTTCCTCAGTAAAAAGAAAAGAAAATGGAAACAGCTGAGCTGATACTTATCCCGTTGCCGGAGACCGGCCACCTCCTGTCGTCGATCGAGTTCGGGAAGCGTCTGATGGATCTGGACCGCCGGATCTGCGCCATCACCATCCTCTCCATGAAGCTCCCTTACGCTCCTCACGCCTACGCTTCCATGGCGGCTCTCACTGCCTCAGAGCCTCGCATTCGACTCATCAGCTTGCCTGAGATTCACGACCCGCCTCCAATTAAGCTTCTCGAAACTTCCTCCGAAGCTTACATCTACGACTTCATTCAGAAAAACATACCCTCTCTCAGAAAAACCCTCACAGATTTAGTTGTCTCCCCACAAGACTCGGTTCGTGTCGCCGGTCTGGTTCTCGACTTTTTCTGCGTCAGCGTCTTCGACATAGCTCGCGAGGTAAACCTCCCCTCCTATATTTTCTTGACGTCCAACTTCGGTTTCTTGGGTTTTATGCAGCACCTCCCTAAACGACACCGTGTTACGCCGTCCGAGTTCGCCGATGACTCGCGCGAAGACGAGTTACTGATTCCGAGTTTCGAGAATCGAGTTCCGGCTAAGGTTCTTCCCGCCGGTGTCTTCGACAGACGCTCCTACGAAGCTCTTGTCGAGCTCGGAGAGAAGTTCCCCGGAGCCAAGGGTATTTTGGTTAATTCATTCTCCGAGCTCGAGCCACATGCGGTGGAGTACTTTTCTCGTGGACGAGATTACCCTCCTGTGTATCCTATTGGGCCGATCCTCAACATCAAAAATCGTCCGAATCCGGGTCTAACGACGGCCCAACACGAAGAGATAATGAGATGGCTTGATGATCAACCGGAATCCTCGGTTCTGTTCCTCTGCTTCGGGAGTATGGGAGTGTTCGGTACACCGCAGATCAGGGAGATAGCCCACGCGCTTGAACTGAGCGGGTTCAGGTTCATATGGGCGATCCGTACACACTTGACGGAAAGCAGCGATCCCCACGAGGCGTTGCCGGAGGGCTTCATGGGCCGAGGGATTGTATGCAGTTGGGCCCCACAGGTTGAGATTTTAGCCCACAAGGCGACGGGAGGGTTTGTGTCCCACTGCGGGTGGAATTCCATACAGGAGAGCCTATGGTACGGTGTTCCCATCGCCACGTGGCCGATGTACGCGGAGCAACAGCTGAACGCGTTCGAGATGGTGAGGGAGCTGGGCCTGGCCGTGGAGATAAGGCTTGATTACGTGGCAGACGGTGATAGGGTGTCGCCGGATATGGTCACCGCCGATGAGATCGTGAGAGCCGTCCGATCTTTGATGGACGGTGATAACCCTGTGAGGAAGAAAGTCGGTGAGATTTCGAAGGCGGCGAGAAGAGCTGTATCGGACGGTGGATCTTCGTCGGCTGCGACCGGTGATTTTATCCGGGACATACTGGGCGACGGACTCTGAATAATAATATAACGATTTGGCTTTTTTTTAATCTTGATAAATTAATATATGCTGTCTTTTTTACCTTAATATAATGTAAAGTTGAGATTTCCATCGAATAATTTCGGGACACTTTTGTAATTTACGCAGTTATAAATCACATCAAACGTTGTCTTGTTCATCTCAAACAGTTTCTTCACATTTTCAAAAACCTGTAGAAAGCTACACGTCTCTTCTTCCTTTTTCGCCGTCCAAGCAAAAAATGGTGAAGGAAGCAGAACTCATCTTTGTCCCAGTTCCCAGCACAGGACACCTTCTCGTCGCCATCGAATTCGCTAAGCGTCTGATAGATCTGGACCGTCGGATCAACACCATCACCGTCCTCCACTGGAAAACTCCCTCCTCTCCTCACGCCGACGTCTTCGCCCACTCCCTCGTCGCCTCCGAGCCTCGAATTCGTCTCTACGCCTTGCCCAACGTCCCCGACCCTCCGCCATTGGAGCTCTACTCCCGAGCTCCTGAAGCTTACATCGTACAATTCGTCAACAAAACCGCTCCTCTCGTCAGAGACGCCGTCTCAAGCATCGTGGAGTCGCGTCGTGGGTCGGATTCGGTTCGCGTCGCGGGTTTGGTTCTCGATTTCTTCTGCAACCCGTTGATCGATGTGGGTAACGAGCTGAACCTTCCTTCTTACATTTTCTTGACGTGCAACGCCAGATACTTGGGTATGATGAGGTATCTCCCGGAGCGGCACCGGAATATTCCCTCGGAGCTCGACCGGAGCTCCGGCAAAGAAGAACTTCTGGTTCCGGGTTTTGTCAAACCCGTCCCCACCAAAGTTATGCCGTCGGGTTTGTTCATCAGAGAAGCCTACGATGTTTACATCGAGCTTGCGGAGAGATTCGCCGACGCCAAGGGTATTCTGGTAAATTCATTCGCAGAGCTAGAGCCGGAAGCCTTTGATTACTTCGGCCGTCTGGAGAGCTACCCTCCGGTTTACCCGGTCGGACCGATTCTCAGCTTGAAGGACCGGCCAAGTCCTAATCTGGACCCGGCCGAGAGGGACCGGATCGTGAGATGGCTCGACGAGCAGCCCGACTCGTCGGTGGTGTTCTTCTGCTTCGGGAGCGTGGGAATCCTCGGTGCACCGCAGTTGAAGGAGATAGCTCAAGCCCTGGAACTCGTGGGCTGTAGGTTTGTGTGGTCGATCAGGACAAAACCATCGGAGAAAACGAACCCGTACGATCTTTTGCCAGATGGGTTCGATGATCGGGTCAAGGGTCAGGGCGTCGTGTGTGGGTGGGCTCCACAGGTGGAAGTCCTGGCTCACAAGGCAATCGGTGGGTTCGTGTCTCACTGCGGCTGGAACTCAACGCTGGAGAGCTTGTGGTATGGCGTCCCGACAGCGACGTGGCCAATGTACGCAGAGCAACAACTAAACGCGTTCACGATGGCGAAGGAGCTCGGTCTGGCTGTGGAGCTGCGGGTGGATTACGTGTCAGCACATGGGGAGATTGTGACAGCCGATGAGATCGCGAGTGCCGTGCGGTCTCTGATGGACGGTGGGGACGGACGGAGGGAGAGGGTGAAGGAGATGAAAGAGGCAGCCAGGAAGGCTATGGTGGAAGGTGGATCTTCCTTCTCTGCAGTCACTGCGTTTATTGAGCAAGTGTTGGGACATTGATTCTCAAAGATTACCAATTCCAATGTCCTACTTAAACATGAGCAAGAAGATCTGTATAAGCTTAAGGCAATCACTACAAAGAGCTCTTGTACTTTCTAATGTTATATGAGTTACAGTAGATTAGTAACAACTCATGACGACAAGACAAACTAATGTAAGATCCACACTTCAAAGTTCAAAGAGATCGTGGAGCAGAAGCTGAATCCTGCAGTAGATAGCAGATCAGTTGTACCAAGGAAGAGAACTATACAGATACCCAAACTTAGTTGTTGTTCAACCGGCGTCCGTCCCGTCCTGAGTCCGGATGGTTTTCCCAATCCTTCGAATTATCAAATAAATAGAGTAGAAGTCTCTGTTATAGCATTCAAGGAAGATGGTTCATCTTTCGGGATTCTACCTCATGTGGAATGGTGCAACAAGGTCAAGCGAGAGAGATTAGAACAAATCTATTCTAAACAAAGGGAATCGTCGAGAAATCCAGGCATAGATACACGAGTCAAAGTACAGAAGCGGTATAATTCAGACGACACGATTACGTCACGCATCAAAACCCTAAGGAGAGATGCCGAAACCACTGCAAAGAGGAAAAACAAAAAACCCATCTAGGGTTAAGTTAAAATCACCGAGTATGATCGTAATCGAGGACCTCGGAATCGGTGATCGACCGCGAGTGCTGCACGATGGACCGTCCGATGGAGTTGATCCACTCCTCCTTCGCCTTCTCGTTGTCGGCGAGGAAGTACATGGTGTAACCCCCCGTGGAGAGCTCGAACGCGAAGGGCTTGTTGACGGCGTCGTCGGCTCCCTTGACGGTGAGGCAATCGCCCACGGATATGACGCCACGTGGAATGGATCCGCGGTCTCCTGCAGCGGCGGGATCCTTGAACCAGAGGAGCTTCCCGCGCTTGAGGACGAACCAGCGTCGGCGCCATGTGCGGATGTAGTCGCCTTGTTTCGTGAGCCAACCGGATCGTTCCGCTTCGGACCAGAATTCGATCCCTTCGTAATCCTCCGGGCTCGGGTCCTGGCCCGTCGCGATTCGCCATAGATTCTCCATTTTTTCTCTCTGAGCTCACGTTTCAACTCTCAATGGATCATTGGATTCTTTTCTGCGTAAAACTTCTTCGGCCTGATCGAGCCCCCCGAAAACGACAACGTTTTAAAGGCCTGGCCGATGTAAACGGCGTCGTTTGATCACCGCAGGAAAGCAAAGACAAATCTGTATAAATCTTGACTGAATTTTTTTATGTTTAGATTTTGAACTATGGAAAACTTTAACAATTCAATATCCTAATTTCTTTCTGATAGGATATTTGATATGATGTGCTTTACATCTTTTATTTTTAAATTTGTCGCAATCTCTTTTTCTATTATAACGATAATTGAAACCATGCATTACAAGGTCTTAAATATCAAATAATACCCTTTATATATATATATATATATATATATTAGCAGTTTTGAGACAATCCCGTTATTACACGACTTGTTTATTTATATATTTTTTGGTAGTTTTTGACAACTATTTATCGGGGTTTTCCAATGTTATAATTATGTACAACCCATTTCACTGATTCTTTCTCGTTTGTAAAGAATATGGTTTCAATTGGAAATTCCATTTTATTTTTCTTTCAAGTTTAAACAATTTCTGAGTTCTATAAGCTTATATGGTGTGATACAAAATATTATACTATAAATACATATGTTATATATACGACCGATAATGATCCAACTCAGCTATTTCATTGCTATTTTATAAGATTATGGTCGTGCAAAAATAGAAGATACACAATCTAAGATGATATGTAATATATTTATATTTATTGATCGGATTATATTGTTCAACATGTCACATCGGCTCTAACAGGACACGGATAATACGACAAGGTTTGCTAAGATATTTTATTTATACGGCATAAATTGTCAAATGCGGTTAAACATTCAAATATATACCCCGATATATATATATATATATATATATATATATATATGTATATATATATATATATGTATGTGCGTGAAACGCTACCATACATATATAATTCATGACAATAAACGGAGACAAAACACGTTAATACCCCATGGTGTTTTCTATCTTGTTCCCTTTGTTATACTTTCCTCCATTCAATTTTGGCCCTTAGCCTTTGAATTTCCCCATTTGTCTTAAACTCCTACGATATCGACCGAATATATATATATATATGCGTGTCTATTATTATTATTATTATTATTAATAACTTATAACAGTTTGATTGGTCCGTGCTTTATTTCCAAATATCCCATCATTTAACTAGCTGGGCCAGGCTAAGAAAACTGTAATTCTACCCGATAGGGCCCACTAAGTTAGCCTCCAAGCCCAGCAACTCAGATCGTACGGTCCATTCTAATATACGAAATACGTTTTATTTTATTGTATTCTTTGTGTTTTCCGAATGAATTTATGTTGCATGTGTGTTCGTTGCAATAAATATTTTTAGCGTTTAGTATCAAATATTTATTCGCATTTTTTCTACGTATTTATCGTAGTTTTCTAGAATACGTGTGAATAATTGGAATACCATTGTTTTTTTTTTCCTTAAATCTAAGTCTGCACCACATTTTTTTATTCAATTGTATGATGATTTTTTATTCAAATGTATGATTATTTATCCAGCACCATAGATACATAAACGATATAATAATAAAATAAGTCCACTGGTCCTAAGATAGGGACATAATTGTTGCAATACATAAAAAAAATTGTAGAGAAGAAGATGCAAGTCCAATAAAAAATCAACCGTTGGTTCCTTACCTCTTCGTGGTACGCTCCAACAAGATATTTTTATTTTATTACCAAAATTTCTTTATTTGGACTCTTTGCTAAAACAGAGAAATAATCGACTTTTTTTTTATATCTAAAAATTATATATATATTTTAAAATACTAAAAAAATTAAAAATCACTTTTTACTCTGTGTTCCCATAACATTAAATTTTTTATAGTCATTCCATACAAAACTATTTCGAACTCTAATATTTTAAAGCCATTATCCTTAAAAAAATGCTGACACCACCGGCACCTATTGAATACATTTATAGAGAAATAAATTTTAAATAGATTGACATAAAAATTTATGTATTATAAACAAAGTTTTTGTTGATGGTTCCTGATTTGGTGAAATTATTGTGACTGGACTATTTGTTCCTCCCATGCGATATTGGATCGTGGAAAATAATTATGAATTTATTCAAATCAACACACCGATACATACATATATTTGTACGTTTTAAATATATGCATATATACGTGTAAGCTTCGTCAGTTAATTGGCTTCACGGGTTCTATTCAATATAAGAGGAGAAATTCAAAGGCAAAAACCAATTAGAACTTGAACGTAGACACATTAATTCTGTACCGAAAGTCGTCGCAAGCTTACGTGGACAAATGGACCCCAACAACTCGCCAACCTTTGTTGCCATATTTGCCAGGCTGTTTTTTCTCGCCCCAATTTCTTCTATTTACACGTGGCACCAGGAACACCGTCGATCTAGTTTAAACCGGAAGCTCAATAGACCTGGTGTTGGAAAACGATACAAAAGCAACCAACGTGGTACATTTAGGACCGTTGGATGTAAAATTCCTAATGACTTCCGGTTTATCAGATATTTTCCCTACGGAGAGGCAGGCAACCCAGTGCTTACCGGTTACCGATACCACCCGTCGCTGTACCTTGGACTGTTCTCAGCAAGCTCTACAGTTTGTCCACTGGTTTTTAGCTTTAAACCCGGTGAGATTTTATTGATTTAACAATTTTTTACTTTATTTTGTTTTTTTAATAATTCGTGAAATAGACAGAAAAAAGCTCTATATCGCGTTTGTATATAAGGTCGCCGTCTCTCTCTCTCCCCGCGTCCCCGTGCTACGGTTCAGTATTTTCCCGAGAAAATTTTGTGCTGAAGCGAGAAAATTCCCGACGAAAATTGCGCTCATTTAGAGTGAGTTTCTCATCGTCTCTCTCTCTCTCTTGTTTCTAACTTCGCGGAATGGGATATCTCTTGAAGCTTTCTAACTTACGATCTCGGAGATTTCATCGATTCTCGTGCCGGTTTAGCTTTCTCCGATCCGATTTTCCTGGGCACTGTAATGATTCGTTAGCGTGAAGATGCATCGAATTTAAGGACTTTTTCTCCCCTGTTTTTCAATCCCGTTCATACTGGGATCGGAGAGAAGCTACAAAAACCGTGATTTTGAAAATCATTAGATACTCTGATCATTCCGTTCTTTTCTATTTACTCGATTCGTCTTTTCAATTTTCCAGGAAAGCGTGAATCAAAGAGTAAAAAGGCATTTTTTTTTCCGACCAAAGTAGCCGCTTTGTGTTTGGAGGCCGAAAAAATCTCATCCTCCGTATAAACTTTCCCTCGAATTCTAGAAAAATTTCCTGCCAGATTCGAGAGACAATTTTCCCATCTTGGAATGGGAGTGAAAGTAGCCACCGCAACTACTTTCCTTCAATGGGCTTCGCAGTCCATCGTCCCCCATTCTTCCTCCACTGCCATATCCTCTCCTTTCCCGAAACGGCGTCGTAACAACGCGCACGACGGTCGCTCTCTGTGTTGCCGCTTTGTGCCTCGGAGGCATGACCGTTCGTCTCTCTTCGGGACTCACTCGACGAAGCTTCAACGATCCAAGTCCTCCGAATTATGGGAAATATCGAAGACGACGAGGACTCAATCGTTTCGAAGAGCTTGTATCGCGAGATTGGATTCGTTCTCCGAGCACGGTGAGGGAGATTCGGAACCGGAGATAATCCACGATTCCGTAGATGGTGAATCAACGAGTCACTGTTACAGTGCGAATTTTGGGTCTGATTCAGTGGAGCCGCCATGGGAGGAGGAGATGGTTCACATGTCGAGCATTGAAATGAAAGCGAACAGCGTCGGTATTCCACTGTCCCTGAGGGTCATAAAGAGGAAGATCCAGTGGGAGGAAGGGGTCAGAGAAGCCGGAGAATCAGCGTATTGCTCGGTGAAGAAGGCGTTTTCTTCGATGGTGTTCATCGTTCGCGAACTCCACAGCTTCACTCTCCATATGAGAGAGCTTCTCTTCTACGAAGACTTGCAAGGAATTCTCCAACGCGTTCGCAAGGAAATGCACGCGTCCTTTGTCTGGCTGTTCCAACAAGTTTTCTCGCATACGCCGACTCTGATGGTCTACGTGATGATTCTCCTCGCTAACTTCACTGTTTATTCCATCGGCAGGAACGCCGCCATCGCCGCCGCCGCGTCCCATCCTCCTCCGACAGCAACCGTGTCGGAACTGACAACGGTCGTTGAACCCGATGACGGTCCAAACACGAAGTTCGATTCCTCTTCGGTAAAGACATTCTACGTATCGTCCTCAACCGGCAGGACAGCTTCGGTCAGCGGCAACAATGGCGGCGGCGGCGGGAAATTCCGTCCCGTCACGAGCGGTACGGACGGCGACGGACGGTACAAAGGGTCGGACCATTTCAGGACGATGATACCCGACGGAGCCGCTCGGCTGTTGTCGTCGTCTTCCGGGGAGACGTCGGTTTCAGGGGAAGTGAACAGAGAAGAGGAAATCGGTCTGTGGAATTCGATGGTGGAGGAATTGGAAAGAATGGAGGCTTCGACGAGGGGCGAGTCATTGGACCGCGACACGGTGAAGAGGTTCGTGTCGCCGGTGGAGGCGCGAATCGAGCCAGACGACTACGAGGATTACTTCAAAACAGAGCTTCTGTACAAAACAGGGCTCTCTCAAGAACCTCATAACCCTCTCCTCCTCGCCAACTACGCTCAGTTCCTCTACCTCGTCGCTCATGATTACGACAGGTGTGTTATTTCACATGCTTACTCCATATTGTAATTTCAGATTCCCAGTTCTTGATTCCATTTGCTTAAGGTAGAGATCCGATAGAGAGATTATTTAAATTGCCCTATTAGTCTTTGGTGATTTGTTGGTCCAAGATGATGTTTAGAGTAAAAAATAGGAGCAGTCCTCGATTTTACTATTATTGTACCAAGAGGGGAACAAAGGCTTTAATGGCGGAGGAGTCTGTGGTGGAAACAAAACACAAAGATCTTGCCCTCACCAAAACCTAAATCCCACATGATATTCACATTCTTGTTTTAAATTCAAGAACTAATGTGTTGCAAATGTGGGTTTTATCCCACGTGGTGAAAATAAAAAAAAAAACAGAGCGGAGGAGTGCTTCAGGAAGGCGGCGAAGGCGGAGCCAGCGGACGCCGAGGCGATGAGCAAATACGCAAATTTCCTATGGAAGGTTCGGAAGGATATGTGGGCGGCCGAGGAGAAGTTCTTGGAGGCCATCTCGGCCGATCCCACCAACTCTTACCACTCAGCCAATTACGCCCATTTCCTATGGAACACCGGCGGCGATGACACGTGTTTCCCTCTCGACGCTCCTCATGATACCTAGAAACCCTAATACGTTTTTCTATTCTGTATATGTGCAGATGTATGCATGTATGTACTTATCGAGTATTAGCACATCACGATAGACGTATGCCAATGTTGTGGTGCGTTGTCGGAGATAAATCAAACCGTAAAAAAGAAAAAAGAGAGCGGAGAGATATAGTGAGGAGATCACGTGAGGGAAGGGAGTGGAGCACGTGACATGGAGGCGAGTTGGAAGTTGCATTTTTTTTTCTCTTCTATTTTGTTCGTCTTCTTCACACTGTGAATAGGTGTGAAAGCAATAGTTATTATTTTCTTATCCATAATCATCACATGTCAATTTTTATAATGTTGGTAATGAGAGTACTGTTGAATTCCACTATATAATAAATTTATGATGGTCCTGTCAATTTTCATTATCTCGCAACGAAAATTGCATTAATAATTAAACAAGCACATGGAATTAAAGAACTCTCGGCCAAAGGGTAAAAGCGGCAATTGGTGTATTTCTTCTGGCGGCAACGATATCTCAGCAGCACATAACCCCAACTCATATAAGCAACAATTCGCATTTGAAGAAAAAAGGCTCATTACAAAAGTTGGAGATACTGTGGATTTTGACGTCACAGATGAAATGAAAAGGGCAGGTTGAGGAGACGCTCCACATGCCATGTTTCCTCTCTTTTAACTTGCTCGTGTGTTTCTTTCTCTTGTCCGTTTCTACCGCCTTTCATTTCGACGAGTAATATATATATATATATATATATATATATATATATAGTATAAATAATGTTTTATATAACTTTACTTGCAGTTGAGTTTATGTAAAATCGTGTCCTTGAATTCTTATTGGGATCTCCATAAAGCTTCGGATGACGCAAAAGAAGAAGAAAAAGAATTGGTAGACCGTCGTCACGTGTAATGATGTTTGATATAATTCACAAGTTTGTTTTGCGAAAACGAGGGGGATGAAAATTAGATCGTCTTTCTTGATGTAATTCAACGATTACAAAATTTTCAAAAAAGGTAGGAGGCGATACATTTTTTCGGAGTTCAAATATTGTATACCGATTCATATTTCTTTTTTGCTACAGAGAATCCAAGTACGTCATTCATTCCGATAAAACCAAAACAAAACAAAAAATCGGGAAAATCAGATCGTGTTGTTCAATAATATATATAACGAGAATTAAAGTCGCCATCTTTTTTTTTTATAGTATTATCGTATAATATTATAATTAATAATTAATAATGAATGATGCATGTTATGTTAGGTTAATGCTCTTTCGTCTCACCCCAACGTTACCAAAAAACCCATACTGCTTCACTAATGCATCGCATCTCTTCTTAAACACTAGAACTAAATCAATAAAGACTGGTATATTTAACTAATTCCAAATAATAAATAAAAACTAAAAAAAAACAAAATCGATCTAGAATATAAGTGTTTTTTTTTTAATAAAAACGCCCTTTGGCCGAAATCAAACAAAAGTAGATGAACAAGAGAAATCTCTCCCCTGTTCCACCCCGCCTGTTTCTTGAAGACGATTTTTAAAATCGCCGGGTAGAATACAATCGACTTTGTAAGGGAGATATCGTGTATAAAACAACAGCACAAGTTTTCTTCGTGTAATTCCCTCCACGGAGAAGACGTTTTAGCTCATGACATTTTAGCTCTGGCGAAAAATATTCCGGCGAAAAGACCTGCAGATCCCACACCAAATATCAGTTTGGAAAGGAAAAGACTCTTTACTAATTCACAATTCCAACTACTTACTGCTACCACATTGGCCATATTAATGGCTACTAAAGCAACTTCCAATTATTATTGAATACAGTACACACACGTTTTATACGGATGATAGTAGGGATGTAGGCGTGTATAAGTAGAAAGGGTGATAAAGAAGAAACCCGAGTTGGAAAGCGAGCTCTGGTTCTGGTTCCGAAGATCAATGTTGCTTACCGAAAAGAATGCTGAACAAGTTGGGGAGGCTGAGAGGGACTTTGAACAGTACAAGACCAGCTATGGAGATTGGAACCTTGTTTAATGAACCTACAAGACTGTCGCTCACAAAAAAGAAAAACCATTAACCAATATAGGACGAGCCGGTTTCAAGCTAAAAGACATCATGTTTCCTCTCTCTCGGGGGGAGAGACCTGTAAGTGGTAGGTCCAGTTTGATGCAAGAACCACATTGAGGTGAAGCTGATGGCCAGTCCAAGGAACCCACTGGCTGTGGCCACCACCCAAAACATTGGAACTCTTATCACATCCCTACATAAGTGCAACTCCCAGTAAGCACTAGTTTGAAAGGCATCTACTTCAATCCATGCCAAATTAGCCATCTACCCGATAGTTGATATAGCCACACAATGACAAGACGTAAATTTTTTAAGGCTTACGTGGTTATTACGTATCTCCACTCGCCAAGCAAGATGATCAACATGACAGCAAAAGGCAGTGACAGCAGATTATTCAGGATAACCATGGATACTTCATTGAGGGAGCCAGATCTTGTTGACTGCTTTGCTTTGTCCATTACTCGTCGAAGGATGAGCTGCCACAAATAGTTTTATACATGATACCCAGAGAGAATATGCATCAACAGTCATGGTTCCGGTAACAGATTTCATGTCTGAACTCACTGAGTAGCTTGCAGTTAGAATGCAGTTGGCGATCTGCCACGTGTATCCTACTGAATCGAATGTGAGATCAGTGATGCCACTGCTAATCGCAGAGATGATCTGCATCACAGAATCTTAGTTAGTATCATTGTGGAAATCTGATAGAGACTGAAGACTGATCTTGGATTTCAGAGCAGGTGAAGACGTTCGAAACAAACAGATAAAGTTTTTCTTTTTGCACAGATAAAGATATGCATTTAACTTACCATCATGAACATTGCAGCCCAAACTTTATTGTTCTGTCGTTTCCGGAACATATATAATTCCCCTATCGCTGTAATTATATTGGTCGCATTCTTCAGAATAGTCACCATAGCGACGTTTATGTATTTCAAGCTGAAACAGAGGTATGGTGTCATAAAAGTCTTAGGCAGACAGCAACTAATAACGAAAATTTCCATTACAAGTTCATAAACCATGTCTTCCGCAGTGATGAAACCACATACCTGTACATTCCTGAAACCAACATGCCCACGAAGATAACATTGACTGGGATCCAAACTTTGATCAGCTTCCAGTTAAGTTTCTCCACAGAAACTGCTCCGCAACAATCTAGTACAGCTACCACCAAACAGCTGATTAAGTTCTGAAATAAAGTATCACGAAATGACCAGATTATAAGCTAAACACGCTTGTAAAAGCTTTGCCAGTCATCATAATGCCGAAGAAATCAAGCTTATGGATTCATATTGTACTTGATAGAACATCAATGAGATTCCCGCATTGAAGTTATAGCTCGAGAGAACTATTTTGTTGATTATTATCATGCTGCAGGAAGAGATACAGTAAGCTGTCCCAGACAAGAGCGGTCCAGACCGTTTTCCGGACCCTCTCACACGTTTGTGATCTCCATCAACTGGAAGATGTGATCTTCTCCATCTGAGAAACCTGTTATGTTTCAGGGGATCACAGATATTCAAGATGCAGAAACATAGGCACCATTGATTTTACTGTTATAGGGAACCAAGTGTTCTTACCTTTCGCTTAAGCCTCTGAGTTCGGTTTTTCTGGATACATTGCTTACAGAACCCTTATCTTCCTCATGGATTTCATCCAGAATCTTGAAGACGACGTTTTTACTATTATCATCGTCAAAAGAGTTTAACTCTGACTCGTTCGGATCATGACAAACAACCGCCTCCGTTTTGAAACCCGACATTCTCACCCCTTCACACTGAACTACAGCAACAAAAGAAACCCACATATAAACCCTAGAAATCGACACTCCGCAGCCAAAATTCTACAGATTATTTATATCTAACTTAACGAGGAAAACGTCGATTTCCCTTGTTGAGCTTAGCATCGATACCCTTATTGCTCTTCGGACGAAATACGACGAGAAATTCAAATACCTGGAGACGAATCGCAGAACCAGTTCCAGATGAATCTCGCCCTTTTCAGCTCGATTCTCTACCAAATCGACGAAATCGAAGATAGCAACGAAACGGGAAAGGAAGATCCGTCTCTTTATTCAGCCCGGGCTCGCGCGAAATCCGGCGGGAAAACACGATCGGAGCATATGATCGCGAGTGTGAAAGCGTACGAGCGCCTTGTAAAGATGGAGGAGGAGCTAGTGGACGCGAAGAAGATCTTTTTTGCTGACACGCAAAGCGTAAGATGCGAGACAAGGAACGTGGGCGGATCTGAGCGAGATTTCCGAGGTAGACATTGGGAAGTAACCGTCCTGCGTCATTTGAATAATTCTCTCCCTCTCTGTGCTGTTGTTAGGGTTCTTGAAATCTGAAAACAGAAAATAAACCACATCAGCGAATGGTATGTGATGTGAGAAGGTCTCTGGCTCGTGGAGGAAGGAAAGCTCGCGCCGGGATCCATGGCGAATCTCTTGGCGGGAAAGATGACCCGATGGCCATGTCGGGTCAGGTATTATCAATACGGGTGTTGGGCTTTCAATTGGAATTGGGCCAGAGCTCTCTTAATGAGCTTTTTTTTTTTTATCGCATCCCATTAAACTCCATGGAAATCTAAAAAGAAAAGGAAAAAACCATTGTGATTATGTGGGCTTTCTCTAAAACCCACAAATCCAATATATGTCTGTTAAGACCCAAAAATGGGCCCAAAATAAAAGCCCAACAGATTCCGTTTTCTGTTATTTCCTGTTAATTATTACACCCTCCGTATTATATCGCCACGTGTCACCACGTTAGCCATTGCCCTTCCAAAAAAATCGTTTCCTCCTCTCTTATTTGTTCTTTACCTCCCCCTCTGGAAAAGAGTGAGGAGAAGAGGACATATCTCTGCTCTCTCCCTCTCTTTCTCTCTCGTCCTCTGCAACACCATGAACGCGAGAGCTCTTCTCTACTGTCCGAATCTCCACTCTCTCTACACTCCCACTCGGCCTCCCGACTTGTCGTCTCGGACCCGGCCGCTACGACCCGATCCGATCTCGTTTCGGTTCCGGATCGAGCCGCGGGATAGGTCAGGCGTTTTTCGAGTCTCGGTTCGTAGCTCCCGCGAGAGACGGAGCGGGAAAGCTTATGCAGAGCTAATTAGTTCGCGAGAGAGACTGAAGAGAAACGGCGCCGTGTCGGGTCCGGAGAGCTCGGTGCCATGGTGGGAACAGTTCCCCAAGCGCTGGGTTATTGTGCTGCTCTGTTTTTCGGCTTTTCTTCTCTGCAATATGGACAGAGTATTCATCGGACTTCTCTTTTCTTGTTGAACATACTTTTTTTTTGTGTCTGCAATTAATGCCTTTTTTTTTCTGGGTTTGTCGAAATGAATCTCGTTTTGCTTTCAATGTTCCAAAAGGATTGTGATTGGGAATGTTTCGGTAGAAATTGGAGTCGTCAACCATGAACAGATCATGTTTTGCAGGTGAACATGAGCATAGCAATACTTCCCATGTCGGCTGAGTTCGGTTGGAATCCGGCAACGGTTGGTCTCATACAGTCTTCGTTCTTCTGGGGTTACCTTCTCACCCAGGTAACCGATTTGTACTTAAAGGTTCTTTGATTTTGACTTCCTCTCATTGGAATCTACTCAAATGAGTATCATTGTTCTTCAAAATGTTTCATTTGTCTGAATCAATGGGTTGGTTGACAGATAGCGGGTGGGATATGGGCAGACACTGTGGGGGGCAAAACGGTTTTAGGCTTCGGAGTCATTTGGTGGTCCGTGGCCACTGTTCTCACTCCCATTGCCGCTAAACTCGGCCTCCCGTTCTTGCTCGTTGTCCGTGCTTTCATGGGCATTGGAGAGGTTTGTATTCATTCATCCACACTTCATCTGACACCTGACAAGTCCATTATCAGATCTTTGCCAGATCACACTAACATAACCATGAAATGTTCTTGCTTGCACATGTTAGGGTTTTAGGTTCAAATATAGACACATGTAGAAAATTTGATCTTTCCTTGTTATGTCAGGGTGTTGCAATGCCTGCAATGAACAATATACTGTCGAAATGGGTGCCCGTGCAAGAGAGAAGCAGATCTCTTGCGCTTGTTTACAGCGGAATGTACCTTGGATCTGTCACCGGTTTAGCTTTTTCGCCCTTCTTGATTCATCACTTTGGATGGCCCTCTGTGTTTTACTCTTTTGGATCTCTCGGGACTGTCTGGTTAACTCTATGGCTAAACAAGGTAAGGGTTGATACACGTTTCCAAGTGAAGGAAATCGTATATATTTGTAAGATAAACCTATTTACGAAGCTTGCCCGGTTTATTGCCACCACTGCAGGCAGAGAGTTCACCTATTGAAGATACAGAGTTGCTGCCGGAGGAAAGAAAGCTAATTGCAGACAACAGTGTATGCAAAGAGCCTGTGAAAACAATTCCATGGAGATTGATATTATCGAAACCGCCTGTGTGGGCTCTCATCGGTTCTCACTTCTGTCACAACTGGGGAACATTCATTATCTTGACATGGATGCCAACTTATTATCATCAAGTCAGTTTTCTGATCAAATTGTTTTTTTTTCAGCTCTTGGAATTTACTGCGATCTTAATCTCATGCATATGATTGAAACGCATGCCAGGTGTTGAAGTTCAACCTTATGGAATCAGGGCTGCTTTCTGTATTGCCATGGCTGACAATGGCGGTTTCTGCAAATGCTGGAGGGTGGATTGCTGATACTCTTGTCAGCAAAGGTCTATCCGTTACAACAGTCCGTAAGGTGCCTATTTATATTCGTTTCATGTAAACAAATGGTATTATTTGAACGTAAACTATTATCACTGAAGATTTCTGTATCGGCATGAGATCCTTATTCTTCTTTTTCGGGTTTTTAGGTAATGCAAACGATTGGATTTCTAGGCCCTGCTTTCTTCTTGACACAGCTGAAACATGTCGATTCTCCTGCAATGGCTGTTCTCTGCATGGCTTGCAGCCAGGTTGGTTTCCTTCATGACTCAAAACACGGAAAGTACAAATCTGATAAATGTTTAGAAGATGGATTTTGATGATCTAATGGATATGAGAGGTTATGCACAGGGTACCGATGCATTCTCACAGTCAGGTCTCTACTCTAACCATCAAGACATAGCCCCTAGATACTCTGTAAGTCTATCATTCCTCTTGAACAATCGAAATATGATACGTTTTCCCATCGTATGGCATGATTAGTAACGATTTCGAAACTGAAACACAAACAGAATCAAACTCAAACCTAACAGTTTGATCTTAAAAAAAAATCCCATCTTGCCATCGGTGTTTTATGACAATTTCAATCTGAAATTCCACTGCGATTCTTGTGTTCAGGGAGTGTTACTTGGTTTGTCGAACACAGCAGGAGTTCTTGCAGGAGTTCTTGGCACTGCAGCAACAGGTCACATTCTACAACACGGTAAGAACTACTCAACAACCCTTTTCTCCCAAACCCATCTTTTCCAATATGTTTCATCATCTTTACATGTGTGCTGACATGGGTTTGATTCTGAATTGTATAGTAAACTATATCCATATGTATAATGGGAAGAGATCAGGGTTTGATCAATCTTTGGATTGTGGATTCAATGGCTTAACATTGGGTAAATGCCTCAGGTTCTTGGGATGACGTGTTCAGTGTCTCAGTTGGCCTCTATCTGGTCGGAACAGTCGTATGGAATCTTTTTTCAACCGGAGAAAAGATCATCGACTAATCGTTCTTGAAACAGATCTGATTGTTCGTGAAGAATTCAGCTCAAGCCTTGCATTTTCATGGCCTGGTGATTCCTTTTCCACGGAAGAATTCTGACAAGCTCTGGAATTTTTTTGTTTTTTTTGTTTTCTTTCTTGAATTCAGACAAAAAGATAAGCTTTAACTAAGTAGATGCAAAGAGTGTATATATACATGATTCTATTACATACACCCCGTACACTTTCACCGTGTATACATGCATGTTTCCACATCTCATGCCAATGAACAAATCACTTTGGTTTCCCCTCTGCTGTGTGTTTTTCAAGTGCACGGGTTCAACAGTGACTTCGGTGCCTTGTTCCCCAAGAAATGATTCGACCTTGGAATTCCTATCTTATCATACAAATATGTAAGGTGGGGATCGCATTATATGCTTAATTCTGGATACGTAAGATATTTGGTCCGAATTCAGATTTTAATATGGTTATAAATTTATATTAACTTGTCCAATAAGAAATGTGCTATATATGATCCTCGATGAGTTCCATTGAATACCACCATTAGTGGAACTATTCAGTGGACACACTAATAAATGATGGAGGCTTTAATAGACCGTAAATAGATTTAATAATAAGATTACATTAAAAAAAAGATCAATTAGCTTATACATATATGTATGTATATAATGCCTTTTCTTTAGTTGACAAAAAGGAAATATATATCAAAATTAGATAAAATAGGCTTTCAAGTAAAGTGCCACAGAATAAGTTATTATGTCCATTCACTCAAAGTGCTAAGCTAATACATAGGCTTTGGGGATTTATGGATAATGATGATGGCATCTTTTTACACATTTAGAAAGAAGAAAGAAGCTTACTTTGGGTGGTATCTATATTTTCAACGTTATAGATGTTCATACGGTGAATGTTCAGGCCCTGAACCTTATACTCAAGTGTATGCTTGAATTTATTATATGTTCATGTCGGCCAAATTTTTTACAAGGACCATGCATTTATGCCCTTGGAAAAAACAGTAAATAACATCCAGCCTTTTGTAGCATCTACGAGTAGAGTTGGGCCATCAGACACATGCAAGTGTCTTCCCTAGAATTTGGCTTTGGATTGAGTAACCACACTTAAAAAAAAGAGTTGAACACATCACTTACGAAGTCCAGCGACCGGATCACCGTACGGCCAAATCGGATTTTACAGATCTATGGAAAAAGAAGATACATACATACATACATACATACATGGATCCATGGCCAGAAGCCATTGGTAGGAAATGAACATCCAAAACAAGGGTCATTGCAGATTAAGAAGGGCGGCCCGTGGTAGAGTTCGATCTCGTGAAGGAGGAAGAGGAGTTGATGAACTGAATGCAGTCTTCAATGGCCTCTGACCGATGAGTGTCGTTGACTATGGGGATGACTGACGGCTGAGATCTCCCGGAAGAAGAGACCTTCAATGGCGGCGGCGGAGGAGGATGATGTCTCTTCTTCCTCATCACCACCAAGAGCAATCCCTTTGCAAATTTACAGCCGAGATGCTTAATCAGTCTCCTGGCCGTGACTTCTGATTTCCTCGGCAGCCTCAACCCGCAGCTCGTTGTGCATCCCGGGTTCTTCCCGTAAGCTCCTTTAATGGAGGTTCGCTTACCAGTGGCAGAGGCAGAGGCATCTCTCTGAACCGGTCTGGTGTTTGGGTTGGACCGTTTTGTCCCTGTAGCAGACATATCAGAGAGTGAGAGTGAGGGTTAGATGCTTTCGGGAAGGAACTCGAGGGGGGAAATGAGGGATTTAAAGGGATTGATGTGGAAAAACAGTTGGCTAATGGTTCAGGAAAACTGAAAAAGGCCATGATTAAATGTATTTGATGAAATCATTACTCTTAAGTCATGATTAAACACTTGAGACATAAACAGGTATAAAGTGTAGGTTCATACTTCTTTATCACCCTACATGTGAAAAGAATTGCATTAACTAATACATAGAGATAATTAAAACGTATCTAGCGGCCGAAATATACAAAAGGGAGCTAAGCCCACGAAATAAAAAGAGCGACTTTGTTTGGGGTTTTCCTAATCTCCATTAGAGAGGAAGGGGTCCATAGAGGGGGAATAAAATACTTCATTTTCAAGAGAAGGAAAAAGGGTTCTTTATGAAGCAACCTTTCGGTATTGTCCTTCTTTGAAGATCACCCATGTGTGCGCGTAAATGAAAATCCGAACAATTTCTTTTGACTCCTGGGGAGGTTGAGATAACTTACCTTTAGAAGTTGCAGAGAGATACCTTCCTTTCATCTGAGGCTATGAATGGAAATAAAAGGGAGAAAAAATAACAAGGAAAAAAAGAAATGTAAGTCAATGGTGGGCACAAGAATATGAAAAAGCAAATAAGAACCAGCCAATGTCAGGACATACATGGAACATCATACTATGCTGAGTGATTTCACTGCTGAAGAACATTCCATCTAGATGAGAACAAGAATCCATGCATGATATATAAAAAATATATATTCAAATCGGTGATTAGACGCTAATGCGGGTGTGATTGACATATAACAATGCAATAATGGAAAAGCAAATGAAATGAGATGTAACCACAAGTCTGTATTCTGCCCAATTGCCAATACATGCAAGCAAACAAGGAACAGAAGCGCACACAAGAGAGTGATTCATCTGCGTTTCAGAATCTGTGAGTCATCAATCACAGGAAACAACTTCCTTGGAAGGAAGAAGAAAGACATTTTCTGTCTGTAGATTAGCAGAGCATGCTCAAGTGGTCAGACACCCCAATCCAAATCATAGAGGCCCCCATGAATTCTTACTCTGAATGTGAAGATAGTTCCAGTATCATGAAGTTACAGAGCAGACAGAATCTACAAGTGGAAGAACACACACATGGAGAACAACATTCACTGGATTTTTCAGGCAACTGGCCAGTGCTGCTTTGCAATTACAAGAGACATTACAAGACAGATATTCAACGCGGTATTCACTCTTGACGGCTGATGATTCACAGTATCAAGAAAAATGAGGAAAAAAACTCACTTTTTTCCCCCTTTATGCATCTTTAACTAGCAAAATCTCTGCTCCAACATCGAGATTATGAGCCAAGAATCCCAAAACTTCATCTTTATCTGTGAATGGTTGTGGCGAAGTGAGGTCACTATCCAAGTTATACCAGACTCCATCAATCTTTCTCACCACAACCCAATGCCTGCTTCTCCAAAGCCCCCCATATCGCCTAACGGCCACATTCAACACAATACCCATTAGAGTTTCTTCATCGAGGTCGATTGAAGAAGCGCCATTACGTTTATCATGCCAAACGACACTCTTGCCTTTCTCTTCAAGTGCTGAAATCAGAACGTTTATGTCGTAGTTCCCAGTCAACGTGTTGTAGTGAGGCTTGAAGAGCAAAGACAGAGGTGTCCACGCTCCTTTGTCTGGATCATCATCCACGAGCTTCTCCCCGATGGCGTCCAAGCCTTCCCGCGTGAACGCGTTCTTGTCCTGAGTCAAACGGAAACCATCCCTTCGTCATAATCCAGTAATAGAAAAACCCAAGACGGATAGCGACATCGTCGCTGTAATTGAATCGGAGAAAATCAGAGAGATTGACTATTCATTCACAGGGTTCACCGATCAAAGTATGCGAAAACGAAAATTGACGCTGACCCCGACAAGGGTTCACCTGGAATAGACTGTTGAGTGAGTGCAAGAGGCAAAACTGCAATCTTTGCCGCTCGTGATAGATCTGTGATTCATTGTTAGCCATCTTCAAGTGACTCTTGTGGAATTCCAACTCGATGTCAGATTTCGTCGAGAGAAATCGGCGGAAGTGACGCTTCCGGAATCAACTGAAACGGTGTGTTCTGTTCGTTCTCGATGCAACACGTTTCGTCTCCGTCGTCGCAAACAAACGACACGGTGATTTCTTGAGGAAGAAGACGCCACGCTGCCTTAGTACAGCACCGTGTGCCGTTTTATCGTTTTAAGGGTAACACTCGTGGCGTTTGGTTTTGTAGGCGAAAAAATCTCGTCGCCCAGATCTTCCCGAAGGTAACATCGTGCCGTTTTACTTTTCCCGTGAGGGAGGCTCCATGCCAAGTGATGGTGAAAGTTATCATGGGGAGCAAAGACAGACTTAGAACGCTCTCTCGCAAAGAAAGTTACCAATGCGTCAAACTGCAGAAAGGCTATTCACCGGCCGACACATGAAGAAGAGTTCAATCTTTCCAAGTTGCAAGTCATCCAACCAAAACTTGTGACCAGTGATCCGAACATAAGCCCAACTTCTTCAGCGGGGGAACGCGTCGAACACAACATATTACACATGCCAGTGTAAGAGAACATCGCCTTGTACCTAGTTCTGTCCTCAAAATAACCTCTTTGGCCATGGGCCATTCGTTTTCAACTGTGAGATGTACAACACAAATGAATTGAACCACATCCAATTTGAGCTGCATTCTAATTACACCATCTTAATATCTAGCCTGCCCAAGGAAGAGGATAAAACCACCATTCTCTCAAACGGATTCCGGACTAAAACATTAGCAAATAGACAATCCTTAGATACCATAAGCCTCCCATACAACATCTGGTACATGAGCATTTGGAATTTATACACAGCATAAGTCGAAACGTAGCGAGAAAAACAAAATAAAGGTGAAGAAGCGGAGCGACGTTCAAAGGCAAGAAAGTTCTGACCTTTCTACATCTCCTTCTTCAGGCACCAATTGAAATCTAAAAGCGAGAAGGAATCAGCCAACACCAGAGACATGAGCTGAAGAAATTCAACAACTTTCACAGTCCCATCAACCATTAGTAGGAAAGTAATATATAAACAGCAGCAGCAATGGTAATTCGATAAAACCAAAGCCTTATCAACACTACTCCCTCATGAAATCCAACAACTTTCATCCTCTTAACAGTCACGGCGATAATCCCCGCCATAGCTGTAGCTCCCCCTCGTCCCGAACTCACTTTCAGACCTATCTGCAGGACCTCTCTCTTCGTCTAGGTTCAACCCACCCATCGTCTTCTGCAACTGCCTCTGATCATAAGGAGAGTAATCCACAGGCGCCGATGGCCCACTCGGCACACCGTAATTGTTAGACAGTCGCGAACCCACAGGAGGAGGCTGAGGCATGTAATCGTTCACCGGCAAGGAGCCCACAGGAGCCGAAGGCCCACTCGGCGGCGGAACGTAGTTGGACAACCGAGGAGCCACAGGAGGAGGAGGCAACGGCTTGTGATCGTTCGATGAGAAGGTGATTGAATCGACGGGGGCGGATGGGCCACTTGGCAAGCTGTAATTGGACGACCGGTCGTACATCGGACGCGATGGAGGCGGCGGATGAGGATAGTAAAACCCGGTGTAGTAATGATCGGAGTAAGGGTAAGGAGAAGGAGAAGGAGAAAATTCCCTGTAATCGCGCGGCGGCGGAGGAGGCGGCACAGCGATCTGAGGGGCAGAGGAGTAATAATAGCTACCTTGAGGGGCTGAATAGTAATCTTGCGGCTGCGACAGAGGACGCCTCGGCGGCGGAGGCGGCTGCGGTTGCGGCGGAGGAGGAAGAGGGGACGGCTGCCGCTCCTTGATCGCGAGCTTCAGGCGAATCTTCCCCTGCGGCCGACCGGACGGCCGGACAAGCTCGAGCGCTTGGACCGAATCAGGGAGAATCGCCGGGTCCGAATCGACCAGGTGAGCCAGCGGAAACCTAACCGATCCAACGAGGGTTTTGGCCAGATCCGACGACTTAGAATGGAAAATCTCGACGGTGACAACAGATTCGTGGACCGGACGAGTCAGGGGAAGAGTGATCCGCTCGTTCCACACGGGTTTGGTGGAGCCCGAGTCATCAGAGCGAGTTGAGAGACGGTGGTCGGGATCGAGGTACAGGACAACGAAGGGTTTGAGGTCTCCTTCGCGCCAATTGACGTTCTTCAGGTGCTTGGCGGAGACTACGGTGATGACCAGGTCGAACGGCTCCGACGAAGTCATGTTACGCTGCGAGGGGGCTTGTGCGGCGGCGCTTCGCGGCGGTCGTTGGTGCGCTCGTGTCTTGATCTGTGGGTTGTTCAGAGTCTGCAATTGGCACGTTACTTTTTATATTATAACAACCTTCTGACAGAGATAGAGGTTTACGGCTCTTGACTCGCTTTATTCATTCCGCGGATGGAATAGAGATAACATTGTGACCAAACAGGGCCTGATCATTCAATGGATAATTGGGTAGGCACATCGGCACATCGCCCGTGGATAACCCTCTCACTCTCTCCTTCTTCGGCTCTTTTGCTGCTTTGGTTGGGCAACAATGGCTCCCTCGGTGATGGCGCCAAATTCTCTCTCCTTCTCATCTTCTCTCTTCTTCTCCCCAACGAACCAAATCCCTAAAACTCACATTTCCGTCGCTAAATTCGGCTACGTCAGAGTGTCGAAACCGCTCACCGTCGTATCCCAGCTCGCGACCCTCCCGATCCTCTCCTTCGAGGGTGAAAAGATCGGGGAGACGTACCTCAACCTCAAAACAGCGCCGGAGGAGACCGCGCGTGCTGTCGTGCACCGCGCCATTGTTACGGACCTGCAGAACAAGCGGCGAGGGACGGCTTCGACTTTGACGCGCGGTGAAGTTCGCGGTGGTGGGATAAAACCCTATGCGCAGAAGAAAACGGGTCGTGCGAGGCGTGGATCCCAGAGGACTCCGTTGCGACCTGGCGGAGGTGTGGTGTTTGGACCGAAGCCGAGGGACTGGTCTATCAAAATCAACAGGAAGGAGAAGCAACTCGCGATCTCGACGGCGATATCGAGCGCGGCGGCGACGGAGGGCGCGATAGTGGTGGAGGAGTTCGGGGAGAGGTTCGAGAAGCCGAAGACGAAGGACTTCATCGCGGCGATGAAGAGGTGGGGGTTGGATCCGAAGCAGAAGGCGATGTTCCTGATGACAGATGTAGTAGAGAACGTGGAGAAATCGGGTCGCAACATCGGGACGCTGCGGATGCTGACGCCGAGGACGCTGAATCTGTTCGACGTTTTGAATTCGGACAAGTTGGTGCTGACTCCGGCGGCTGTGGAGTACCTGAACGCGCGGTACGGTGTGGATTCGGTGGAGAACGACGACGATGAAGAGGTTGAAGAAGACGAAGCTGAAGGTTAGTGTTCTAATCCAAGTATCCTCAGAATCGTTGAGAAGACGAAGTTCTGAATCTATCACTCCTCTTGTACCAACCCTTAGAACAATAGAATTGGGCATTTCCTTCATTTCTTGATGCCGTCTGCCATTTTTTGCCAGTGTTCACAACTAATTGTGAATCCTCATATGCATTATACAAAAAGCCTTGTGATTTACGTTGTTGAGGAATAAAGTTGAAATCTTTGTTGGTTCAGTAAACGATTTGGGTGATTTCTATAATTGAATCCGTTCGATCAGTCACAGCGCCAATTGGCATTACCTTAAAGTAGAACACTTTCATGTCGCATCCCCAAAGCTTAGGCCATGGAGAAGTCTGAAAATTTGTGTGTTATGTTGTGTAGGTGCCGAGGAAGAGGAGAGTAGTGGGGATGCAGAATGAGAAACCACTTCCACCCTTTTGCTGTGTATTGATTCGTGGGGTTGTATCCAATTCTTTTTCGGTAATACGATGAATGTGCATTGTTTGTTTCCGTGTAAGTATAGCTCTCTGCAGGTGTCGTGTTGATTCACTGAGATTTCCCTTGCAGAAGAAATTGGTCTGAAAGAGTGAGATCTCACTGAGAGATTCACGTCCTGTAAAGGCCGATGTTAAAAAGTCGAGAACCAAATGCAAAAAACCTAAGGATTTTACGGGGTTGTTTTGCGAACAATGAAAAATATTGGGGGTCAAAGTGTAAGGATCGAAGAACCTTCAGAAACATGTAAGCAACTAACCTTCTCGCACCCGTTTTCTATTTTGTCTTGTCCGCGTGATGATCCATCCATCCCCTCCCCAACTGAAAAAAGAGAACAAGAGACCAAAAAAGGAAATTTCTAATTGTGAAAGAAAAACCATCCAGAGATTTTGACTGGTTTTCGTTTCAAAGGTAAGCTTGACCTCTCTTATCGATGCCCCGTGCTTCTTCTTCTTCAATTTATCTTCTGAATTTGTTGACTCGTTAGTTACAATATTTTCTTTGAAAGTTTCTTTCATCGTTTCAACCAGTTTGGCTTCTCTAGGAAAGTCCAAACTGTCTGGATTACGCTTCGGTTTCCTTTTGTTTCCATGCTTAATGATTCTTCTGAGTTTCAGGGGTTGCCTCTGTAAGTTGAAACATGGAAATTGATGCTAAGGTGGTCGGCGTTTCTGTCTGGAAAATTGTCAGATTTTCCACGAAAACCACATGCAGATACGTTAGAAAATACCCAGTTGTTTCTGGTGTTTCCACTTTTCTCTTCCTCTTGTATGTGTTTCTTCCTGCTGTTTTCCATTTCCTGCTCTGTTCTTCTCCATTGATCGCCTTTGCCGCATTTTATCTCCGAAATCATCTGATTTTGGATCCTCCGAAGATCCGTGATTCCTCAAAGGAAAAGAAAACAGACAAAGGGTCGTCATCGCCTGTCCAAAAGGGATCTGTTTCGGGTGATGGTAGGAACCTGAAGGCTTATTTGAAGCCTCAACGAAGTGTTCGACGGAATGTCAGAAGGAAAGTGGAGGAGGTAGGAAAAGGTTGGGACTCGTTGCACGGTAGCGAGGACGAGACCGACCGGGTCATTCTAACAACTCTCTTCGGGGAATTACCCAGCCCGACCGCTCCAGATTTCGAGAGATTCAAAAAAGATAAGACGCTACGTGATTCAGAAGAAAGCTTGTTTAACCATGTTGTTGACAGTTCTTCTTCTTCTTCTTCAAAGACAGAAAACGTCGTGTTGGATTCATCTGAGAAGGAAATGGAGAGTTCATCATCATCGGAGGAAGAAGAAGAATCTCATGAGGAGACAAATAAAGCGGTTGCCTGGACATCAGATGATCAGAAGAACTTGATGGATCTCGGGACATCTGAGATCGAACGTAACAAGAGGCTGGAGAATTTGATTGCAAGAAGGCGGGCGAGGAGATTGTTCTTGTTGGCAGCAGAGAGAAGCCTAAGGGGCATGAGGATTCCTCAAATCTGTGTTGAAAGGAACTATTTTGACCTTGATAAGGAATATTTCAACATTGATGATGAACTGCAGATTCCAGGTTCTGCACCTTCTGTGTTATTACCGACAAGAAACCCATTTGATCTTCCGTATGATCCACAAGAAGAGAAACCGAACTTGTCGGGTGACAGTTTTCTCCAAGAGTTTGAAGCGGTTAACCAAAAGGATATGTTCTTCTGCCGCCATGAGAGCTTCTGTCGTGGAGTATTTCCATCAGAAAATCAACATGGCTCCAAATTGGAACCATGGAGAAAGGCCATTGATGGACACAGATTCTACAAGTTTAGGCCACCACAAGGTACTTTCTTACCCCTCATTGTTTTCTTTTTCCTTCTTATGTGTCTGCATATTTGCTTGAGGATGCTATCTTCTTGCTTCAGCTGTTCGATTGAAATGAGCAACGAATTTCACTGTTAAATACTTGAACGGGATTCGTATTAATGTGAATGATATGTACGATGAATGGGTTAAATATTTGTAAATAATAAAATATAGATCAATTAATGTGTGTAGCCACTACTATAAAATATGATGTGAAAATCATAAATATACAAAGACATGTTGGAACTTGAAATATGATTATGTCAAGTAAGGATATAATTGTGTGTGACTGTGTATGGATGTCCTTTTGCTTTGTGGTGTTTGCAGATGGAGGTAACAACGATGGTCTGGTTGAGCAGCAACAGTCATTAACTAAAGAAAGTGATCTTACTACAACAGAAGGAAATAACATAGAGTCAGGTTCTGGACATACAAGTGAGGTTCAGACAGGAACAGGTTCTATCAGAAATGATGATTATGATAGTGGTCATATTGGAAATTCTGCAAGCCAAACCAACAGTAAAACTTTCTGCAAAAGAAATGGTGATCATATTGGGAATGCTCTCATGGGTTTAGTGCCTAGAAACAACGTTTCGAGCTCATTAGGAGCTGAAAGGCAAAGGTACATGGAGCATTTTGGTTACAGCACACGCACAAGTCATATGGTGACACATTCTGTGGATTCTGATCTTCAAGTTGAGGTTTCTGAGATTGGATCACCTCCAACAACTGTTGATGAGATTGATTACTCTGATGATGATAAATCCCCGTTTCTTTGTGAATCAGAAGTTGGACGGGAAATGGGATCGTGTGGTGAGGATACATCTGCAAACTCTGAACCGTTGCCTGTGGAGAAAGTTGATCCAGATTTTACAAAGTTGACTTTATCGTTTTCTCCAGAAAACAATGTGACCGAAAATTTTAAGGGTCCATCCGATGTTTCAGATGCAAATGGTAGATCTCTGGAAGATGACAGACCAAAACCCAGAGAATTCCAGAGCCAAAGTACTTCTGATAGATCAAATGTTACACCATTGGAGATTTCAGACAGAGAATCACAGATTGTGGAAGAGCCTATGGCTGCTTATCCTGATGAAGTTGTTTCAAATGAAATAGATGTTAGTTCACGTTCTAATTCCATTGGTCTCACAGAACATTATTAATATGACTGTAATCAGTGGCAATTTGTTTTACAGGAATCGCTTAATCCTTCTGATAATCTGGCGGATGAGATAAAGATAAGTTATGATTCTGATGAAGCCAATCCATCTGAGAAGGCTGACCAAGAATCTCAAGGACAAGATGAGAACAATGAAGAAGATCGACCAGCTCTAGAAATGCAAGAAGTTCTGTTAACTGAAGCTTCAGATGTTGAAAATGGCAATTCAGATGAATCTGCACCATCTCCAAGATCAGTGTTACCAGATGTGTCATCTCTAGACCGGGCTTATTCGCTACGTTCTGAAGATTTGGAAAATCTATCGGTTGGTCATTCGCGAACTGTAAATGCAGCTCCAGAATCACTGCAGAATCAATCAGCTGGTGGAAGAAACACTGAAGAACCAGAGAGCAGTTTCAATTTGGTAAGGCAAATTACATTTTCTGAGGGGAAGCAAGAGGTAGGCAAAAATCCTTGCAAACAATCTAGGCCTCTCCATATGATACTGAAGCTTTTCCAATTTTTTAAAACTAAAGGTTGCAATCTTTATTTAACACTGCATGCAAAATTCAGGATTCTGCAGTGAAAAGTTCTGAAGAATCTGAAGTAGCCACTGGCATGGATGATATGGAAAAGTTATGTCATGACAAACCAGAGTCTGCTGAGAGTAGAGAAGAACCGAATACAGTGAAGCATGAGAACTTCGACCCCTCTGAGCAAAGAATGGCCAGAGATGAAACTGAAACTATTAGAGACGCCCAAGAAGAATCTAAAACTGAACAAGATCTCCAATTTTTTGTCGATTCAACAGCTAAAGAACTCAAAAACAATCAATCAACAGTTATTGAAGAAAGGGTAAACTCTGTTTCCTTGCACGACCTCTATATTCAAGATTGATGTTACAAAATGTGTTACTGTGGACCAGATTGATGCATTGAATCCTGAGGATGAGGAACACACGTTGGAGGATCGATCTCAGTCTGGAAAAGCAGATGATCCAAAGGTTATGGAGAAATTGTACAAAGACCCATCAAACTATAATAAGAGTGGTGAGGATCAGGTTCAGTTCCAGACAAAGGGAATCATAGAAGCAGAGGAATCAAAGCCGGAGAAGCATAAGAACATGATATACCTCTCTAAGCAGGTAATTGCAGGGGATGAATCTGAAACTGTTGGAGACGTCCATGAAGAGTCTAAAACTGCAGAAGAGGATGGTAGTTCAGTTGATCTCTCTGTCGAAGAACTACAAAATGATCAAATGGTTCAAATGGAAGAAAGGGTAAGATCGAATTGAGCATGGCTTTTCCTTGTGTGCTTTTATGTTTTCTTTTGAGGGACAAGAAAGAGGTTCTTATTAGCTTTCACTCTCTGTTACAGGGAAGACAAACCATTAGAACCTTTTCCTGAATTCTCCAGACCTGATACAGACAAAAAACCAGAATCTCTCAAAATGAGCAACAGCGAGAACTAGAATGATCTTCGTTTCTCCGATTAGAAGCCAATGTGGCTGAAGAAGATGGATTATTAGATGTGAATCACAGTCAAGAGCTGAGAATCAAAAGCTGTAGGAAGAAAATGAAATCTTTGTAAAGATCAGAACTTTGATCTCTAGACATTTGTTTGCTTTGGTTTTCGGATGTGTTTTTTTGTATAAAATTGTTAGGCAAGCAACCATTTACATTTGGTTGCAGGTTCAAGGCAAACCTGTTTGAACCTGCATAGAGGGTAAGAAACCGCTTGGTCCAAATTTTTAATCCTCATCTCCTGATTGTTTAATCTTTGTCTGAAATTCTTACGGACATTGGAAATAAAGAATGCAAAGCAGATTTCTAGTTGTAGGTTACATTTCATTTTTTCAAACTTTGAATTTGAAATTTTCCATAGCACTAACTCCATTTTCTATGAACAAAAACCAATTCAGTTCGGACAACTAATCCCAAATCCGTTCCATCCACACTTCACCTTACCGTCCACGATGAGACAGCTTGGTATTTGGTATGAAAAAAAACATACGCTGGAAACAAGAGATAAAGGAACAACAGAGAGAATTCAGACTACAAAGCCGTCGTGTCAGGCCACCGGTAAATCCAGAGAGTATATTAGCTGAGAAAACAGTTTGAAGATCAATAAAACCTTTATTGCGACGAACCAGACCCCGTAGCCTCTTGTTGGATGGATCCTGAAGCTGAACCAGAACCAGATGACAAGGACAGTGCAGGTGCAGAGTCCGGCTGTGGCTGAGCAGAGGCTGAGCTTTGGGGTGGTGTAGGCCTTAGCCCGGGGCCAGGCTGCAGAGGGTATGGCTGAGCACCCGGTGGTGGACCATGGTGCGCCATCGGAGATGGGTGATGATGGTAAGGTGGGTACTGCTGGAAAGGCGGTGGTATATATCCGTAAGGTGGTGGAGGGTAAGGGTGATGCATGTAATGCCCATGTGGCGGCTGTGGCATCAGGTGTGAAGATGAAGCTCCTCTGTTCTCACTGGTGCTTGAACTTCCATCTTGAGACGGGATAAGTGCTCCCATTCTCTGCGGGTCCATAGACGGGTAATAGGGTCTATCTTGATGAGGTGGTGGAGGATGCATATAATATTGCATCGGTGGGGGTTGATTTTGCTGCTGCGATATAACAGCTCGGGGTAGCATTCCGGTGTGAGCCACAGCGGCCTGTTGTTTAGCTTGGTCTGATCCGTCTGGTTCACTTTTGGGAACTTGAGGCCTACCCCATGTCACTTTTAGCCTTTGACCATTGACGACCAGCTTGTTGCAGAGCTCTTCAGCAGCCTTCTCTGCTCCTTCTCGGGTTGTGTATGTGACGAAAGCACATGCTTTTTCGGGTAAGATTCTGATTGATTCGATCTCTCCATAGGCATAGAATTGGTCTCTTATGTCTTGCTCAAGGATTCTTGAGTTAAGTCCTCCGATATAGAGCGTTTTGATGCTTTCATCCTCCGGGGTTTCCAAGGTGCCCATCTCACCAGCCTTGTTCAGTAACTTCAGCGCCACCGGATCATTCACTCTGCCAACATGTAGAAGATGAGAATAGATTCACCATGGCTATTTAACATATATAGATGCAGAGAACTGATAAACTGGCTAATGGAGGAAAAGCAACCCAGAAAGACATCAACTTTAGACAAGCTATATGAGAACTGAAGCAGCACAGCTTGAACTGAGAGTTAAAAATGATACTTCAGATATGAATGTGGTTTCAAAATATTGAAATGAACTAAATTATTGGTCAAGGAGAAAGAAATAAGAATAAAGGGAGTGAGATAAGCGACAGATAGCTTTCATCAAAGCCGGCCCTTGTCATGCAGAGATGCAACTTAGTTTTGGTTAACTAATTTATTTTGCGGGAAACTCCAAAACTTGAGAGAGGGAGAGATCCCACATGACCGCAAACAGAAAACTAAGTATGAGTTGCTTACCCATAGTAACGATCTTTTATGTTCTGCTGAGATAACTCCCCTGTTTCAGGCATCTCATGCCGGTATGGACACTCAGAACCTCTTGTGCATTCACCCCTAATGTAGAAACTACAAATATGCGCTCGGTTTCTTTTGTAATAAGGTGTTGTTCTTTGGAGCTTCAGAATAGTATCATTTGGTCGAATCTTCCCATATGAAGATTCATAATCAAGTCCAGCTCTAGTCTGCATAAGAAAACAAAATCACTTCAACTAGCTATAACTGAGTTACATGGGAATTGGGAAATCTTAATTTCCCAAAGTAAATGGTCTTTTATGATACAATACAACATAAGGTATCCCAAATCTCAAAACCAATTGGTGCTGAAAATGCAACAATCTCAATAAGCTTAAAAGCATTCACAGCTAAGAACTTTCACGATAAATAATAATAGAAAAAAAAACATGAACAAAGCTATACCTTACGGTCATGCTCTTCAGCAAAGTACTCCTTGTTCACATCACTTTTCGGGATAGAATCATGAGAACTAATGTTGAGTGCTGTGTCTCGAACCTGAACTGGCAGACCATACTCAAGATCCAGAAGACAAACTTGGCATACATTTTTTAGCTTGCAACAAGTTTGGCAAACCTCCGTTTTCTTGTATCTCGCATCCCGGCCAGGGCGCCACCTAAAAACCGTGAATGGCCGGGTGCATATCTTGCACTCCTTATCATAATCTGCCCGGGTCTATAACCAAACAGTAGAACATCAGTCAACCAAACTGGAACTCCCACCAATTCATTAAGCACAATACCAGACCTAAAGAACGTGACTAAGCTCCCTGTCCTACTAAGCGTCTAAGCGATTCATAGGAAATAAATTACTGTTTCCAGAATTATTGGAATCTTCAAAAATCTGCACACAGAGGGGACGAGAACCCACTGCCGACATCGATTCGAACTATATACTTAGAAGAGTTCTGCTATTCATCAAAATTTCTGGGCTCAAATTTCCAATCCTCTAAACCCTAAATTCAAAATCATTACAGCTCCATGAAACGAAAACTAAGAGCCTAGGTTTCCAGCACAAAATTGGGGAAAAGAAGTTCCAAATGAAGATCCCCGACTCAGTAAAACAGATTTCCGACACGATAACAGAACCAAACAAAAAAGAAGAAAATGAAGACAACTGAGCCGAAGCGTCTTAGGTTGTTCGAGAGATCGAATCGAAGTACAATTACCATTCGCACGTAAGGATTGTCTCCGAGACAAGACTCGCAGATAATTGGGAAATCGGAGCGTTCCCATCCATCGGCCTCGTGATCTCTCAAGATTCTGTGCGCCATCGCTATATCCTACGATATGAAACCTCTTCGTTATACTGATTATGGAGCAAACCCTTTAAGCCAGCGCCAGCGGGGTGTGTGTTTGACTTTTAGTTGTTGGTCAAAAGGCCTGTCATTAGCCATTAATGGGCCTCTACCCAAAGATCTTTGTAGCCCATAATCAAATAAAACTTAATACTACGGGCTATAATACTCAGGCCCAAAATTTAATCAGTCCAATCATAACTATCAATGTCAATATAACCGAACCAAACCAAGTAAAAAAAAATTGTATTGGTTTCAATTATTTTATTGAGAAAATGTAGATTATAGTTCCAAATTTGATTTCTAGCTTCCATTTTACTCCTGAATCAATTAAAAAAATTATATGAATCTCAAGTTTTATTATAAAATATCTTAAATGTTGTATAAAATAAACCGAACCGAATCAAGAATAAATCATAAAGAATCCACCATTTGGAACAAGGAGTGGGTGGCGTACCGAGAAAGTGACAGGGGTGCACGCACGCAGGTGACGGGCGGGAACCAAAGGTCCTACTCCTACATCCCGCCAGTGAAAACACGATTATAAAATCAATTCCCGCTCCAAACGGTCCAATAAATTCCCAATTTTCTCTCAGAATTCCCGGAGAACCTTAACCCTAACTTCCGATTACAGAACAACTCGAAATCTAATCCACCAAAATTCTGTGGTGAAAACATGTTGGAACTTAGGTTGGTTCAGGGCTCTCTGTTAAAGAAGGTTCTAGAGGCGATCAAGGATCTGGTGAACGACGCGAACTTCGACTGTTCGAGCACTGGGTTCTCGCTCCAGGCCATGGACTCGAGCCATGTGGCTCTGGTTTCTCTACTGCTGAGATCCGAAGGGTTCGAGCACTACAGGTGCGACAGGAACATCTCCATGGGGATGAACCTCGGAAACATGTCTAAGATGCTCAAATGTGCCGGAAATGATGACATCATCACCATCAAAGCCGATGACGGAAGCGACACCGTCACGTTCATGTTCGAGAGCCCTAGTAAGTTCTCCCCTATTTCCCTTGATCGATCCCATCTGTTAATCAATCATCATAAAGTTTAGGGTTTTAATGCGTTGATGAGGAGAATGCTTGATAACGGGACACGTTGGCCGGAGCTATAAGTCACCTGATCCTGTTAAATAACGGGCTTGTCAAAAGGGGTCATATCTAGTTTGGACGGTGAGAAAATAGTGGGAAATGAGAAGTGGATCCATGCTCAAGTATGATTCAGTTGTCGCTTAGTCGCATACATAGTTCAAAAGAGTAAATGAATTACTTGTTTTGGTAAGAGAGAGGGGCAAGGGAACATACGCTTGACTTATGTTCAGAAGACCATGTTCACTTTCTTGTGCGCTCGAGACAAGATAAAGCTAAGTTTTCAATTTGGGTTTATGTTGCACACTAATGTGAGCTTTTTGTGATGGTTGGTTTAAAGCTCAAGACAAGATTGCTGATTTTGAGATGAAGCTGATGGATATAGACAGTGAGCATCTCGGAATACCAGATGCAGAGTATCATGCCATTGTGAAAATGCCCTCGTCCGAGTTTGGGCGGATATGCAGAGATCTCAGCAGCATCGGGGACACGGGTACCACTTCTTTTTACGACAAGAAATTGAATTGTTTTTGTTTTGTTCCGGAGCTTTTCTGACAGTTCTGGCATTTGATGTTTGGTTGTAGTTGTGATCTCTGTGACTAAAGAAGGGGTGAAGTTTTCCACCAAGGGTGATATTGGGGCAGCTAACATTGTACTCAGACAGAACACAACCGTTGACAAGGTGTGTATGTGGTCTGAACACAAACTAATTTACCCAGAGAGTAAATTTGAATCCATTGTAGCGTAATCCTTTTTGCCCAATGATTTATGCAGCCGGAGGATGAAATTGCAATAGAGATGAACGAGCCAGTGTCACTGTCATTTGCGCTGAGGTACATGAACTCGTTCACAAAGGCAACTCCATTGTCGGGGATAGTGACGATCAGCTTGTCATCAGAGCTGCCAGTGGTGGTGGAGTATAAGATAGCCGAGATGGGCTACATTCGTTTCTACTTGGCTCCCAAGATCGAAGAAGAAGAGGAAGAGACTAAACCCTAAGCCTTAACAGCCACAGGCATGGCGAGGGTGATGATAGTAGAGTTGTTCTTGTTGTTTCCATTCTATGCCTGTAGTGTCCCCGCGGTGTTAAACAACATGCTAAATTTAGATCTGAAGCAGAGGTTTTCTGTCTGAAATTCCTTTCTTTCAAACAAAAGAACATACTTTGTTAAACAAAGCACAAACTATAACACATCAAAAGCCGTGATGAAATCTGTTGGTAAGAAATTTCAGGCTCAGAAAGATGGGAGGTGAAAAGAAGGGTACAAAAAAAAAGGAAGAGATGATCACAGAGATTGCTTCCAGTCTTCTCCTACATACACAGCTTGGTCCCCAAGCTCTTCTTCTATCCGGAGCAACTGCAAAGGTGGATTTTTCGCTTTTAGCCTAAGCCCGTAGAGACCAAAAAAAAAACTTGTAAGGGAGTTGAAAATGATGAAAACCTGGTTATACTTGATGACGCGTTCTCCTCTGGCAGGAGCACCAGCTTTAAACAAACCGGTGGCCAGACCCACGGACAAGTCTGATATGAAAGTATCCTCTGTTTCTCCACATCTATTGGATGTCACCACGCCCCAGTGGGCGTCCCTCGCCAGTTTCACAACTTCAATGGCCTCTGTCACCGTCCCAATCTGATTAACCTGAACCACCACAATTCATGACATCCCATTAGCACTGGCAACCATAATCCATATGATGATAAGTTGATAACCATTCAAGTCAGATACCTTGAGAAGAAGGGCATTACAAGCAGACTCCTGTATTGCTCGCTCAATGCGTTTTGGATTTGACATCAATAAGTCATCCCCTACCACCTGCATAAGTATAAAATAGAGATTTTACATGAGATGGAATTGAAGATCCAAACAGAAACTCAGATCTGAGCCGTCAAAGATCGGTAAAACATTTTATCACAAGGATATCCAATTTTAAGATCAACTTCCATTTGATTTTTAATGGAAAAGACAGAATGGACCTGACATAACCCAAGACCGGAAAAGTACTTTGTGTGTTCCCAATCCTCCCTGTCAAAGGGGTCTTCTATGGATATGATTGGATACTCTATTCATATTGAAAACAAAAGAAAATAAGGCTTTATAAGATGTTTGGATATATCAAATGGGAAGAAAACAATAATGCCGGGGACACAGCCATACCGGCACAAAGTTCTTTGTACATGTCAATCATATCATCCCCAGACTTGAAATTTTGCCCAGATTTGTTTGGAGATTTGAAATCAAGATCATACTTGGTACCTGAAGTAAGGAGATCCATTCACTCAGTAAAGGCATAAGCATGAAAATGATTAGTACAGTGAAGAACTTCACCAAGACACACATGAAGATTGAGGAGGCTATTTATGGAGTTGACATCCTTTCAGGTCAACAATCCAATTGTCGAACAACAAACCCAAGACTAGAAAAAAAGCACCAGCATGAATGATGAAACCAATTTAACGTGGAGAAAAATCGTTACCTATACAGAGGTTAGTGGCTGCAACATCAATTGCTATTTTTATCTTTTCGTTGTATCCTGTTCTGTTGATAGCTTCCTTTACAAGATCCAATCCTTCTTTGAGGCTGCATGAAGAGAGGATTGTAAGAACAAAGGCACCAGGCGATGGCATTACGACATGGTTCGTTCTCTTGAGATTGAATGTGGTGGACATATAGACATAAAGTTCCCTATTGGTAATCTACCGATGCAAGAAGATTAGGCATGATAAGAGGGAAATACATGTACCTAGAGATATTTGGAGCAAGGCCACCATCTTCACCAACATTACATTCCAAAGCACCATACTTTTCAGTAATGACAGCCTGGGATTAACAGCAATATGTACATTGACGTGAGTGTTATGGATATAAAAACAACTTGTAGATGCAATTATTTTTTGTAAAATCACCTTCAAGTGATGATATGTTTCTGATCCCATTTGCAGTGCCTCCTCAAATCTACCTGCTCCAACTGGGACAATCATGATTTCCTGATAAAATTTGTTGAAAGAACTAAATAAGTAGATCAAAGATATGTACGTGAGGAAATTCTAGAACCAAAATAAATCTAGAGCAATGAAAAACCGGGTAAAAGGAGCAAGAAAGGTAGAACAGAGAGGTTGACTACCTTAAAAGAGTTCTCATCAATTCCCAAGACAAATGTCAAAATATGCATACCTGGATAGCCAGATTATTTACGGCATGTTTCCCGCCACTCAAAACGGTGAAAGCAGGTACAGGTAGTGCCAGGCTTGTTCTGCCTGAAAGATCGGCAATGTGTTTGTACAGAGGGACCTGATAAACAATTTCATCAGGGTCTCTTAACAAGAAAACCAAAGCTAGTAGCAAGACAACAAAATCACAAGCAATATGATAAAAGTAAAAGTTGTAAAGAAATTTATGCCTCCTTCTCAGCAGCTCCAGCCTTGCATGCAGCAACGGACACAGCTAAGATAGCATTTGCTCCAAGTTCGCCCTGCAAGACGATTTAAAGCAATAAGTTGAGATGGAAATATTAATAAAGTGCACGACATTGATAGGTTGATGTTATTTTAGCACAATCAGCGAACTATTACTAAGCATTCCAACATTCCCACATATCAAGAAGGGGCAACAGATTACTCTAACCACTTACCTTCTTTTCAGTTTTGTCCAGATCAATCATAGCTTGATCAATTTGGGACTGAAGTTTTGGGTCCATGCCAATCAATGCTTCAGAAATCTTCTCGTTGATGTTCTTAACAGCTTTCATTACACTGTTTCCGAGGTACATCCCTTTGTCCCCATCACGCAATTCAACAGCTTCATACCTGGATTAAGCGGACCAAAAACTCCTCTTATCAGCTTAAAATGCAGGTATACTATTTCACTCCGAAACACGGCTAGATCGTGCATTAACCTTATTCAAAAGATTTCTCAGGCAATGCCATCACAAACAAAGAACAGAAGGAACTTCATGTGCAAGTCTAAGCTCTTTGCACCTCCTTTTACAAAAATCAAATAGGTTCCCGAAACCATTCTCGCAACAAACAATAGAATAGGAATTCTGAAAAATTCTCACGTTCCAGAAGAATCACCGCTTGGAACAGAAGCACGAAAGACGCCTTTGTTTGTGTGCAGATCTACTTCAACTGTTGGAATTCCTCGGCTGTCGAGGATCTGTCGCGCTTTGATCTTCGTTATCATCGACGGGACAGCTTTTCTCATATGATTAGACTGCAATTTCCAAGTAAAAAACGAAGATTACAAGACAACAAACATAAATAACTTCGTCCAAAACTTGAAAGCAACAAAATTGGAGGCTGATGCCACCAAAACCGAGATCAGGAGTTTCAGTTCTTCCTCATTTCCTGGAGGACCAAACAGGGAAAGGAAACTCACGATAAAGAGAACGGGATCGGAAGTTTTGGCCCTAACGGCGGCATTGACGGCATCCTCAATCTTGCGAGAGAGCATATGCTTGTCTAGGTACTCTTGCACAGACATCTTCTTCTCGATCGGCGTTTCACTCCGTCTTCCTTTAGCTCGGATTTGTTCTTCGTCCTGGTCTTCGAATCTGGTATTGCTCGGGAAGAGCTTGAATCTGGCGTTCCTTTTCCGATCACCTGAATCTTCTGGTCCGCCTCCTCTTAGGGACCGTCGTCCCACTCTTAGACAAGCATTGCGTGCCGTTTTAAGGTTTTCCGAGAGAACAACGCCCCGTTTCTTAGCCTTATAATGGAAGAGATTCTTGGTATATTTTCCATCTTATAACCCTTATAATAGAAGAATGTCTTCAATCAAATACGGTCTCTTATTAAGGGTTCGACTGGTTGTACCGCAGCGGTTGCAATTGCGAGTGGCAACGTTTTCAAAATATTTGATAGCGATTATAAATGATTAGTATTGACTAGTTGAGAAGTTGTTGTTAGTAGCGATTGCGGGTAGACGCAGTTAGAAGTGAATGGTTCATTACGGTTGCGGTTGCGTTTTGATATAAATTGTCAAAAGAAATATTATTTAAAAATAATTTTTTATAATAGTTTTAATTAAATTTTTCGTATCATTTTATTTACTAAATTTATAATAATTAAATAATAAATTTAAAAAAAAATATTATCAATTTAATTTATTTTCAAGTAAAAAAATAATTTTATTATAAAAATTATTAAAAATAATCATTATTAAACCTAAAAATTATACTATTGTATTTTTTTTATTAAAATATAATACTAAAAAATAATATCAAATCATAACACTAAACAAAATCATCACCAATATATATATTAATGTTTTATATAATTTCTAATAAAAATATTTTAGTTTTTTTGTCAAAACGCCGGAAACCGCTACCAAAACGCAAGTTGGAAGCTGCGATTAGAAAACACAAGTTTGGTTGCGGTTGCGGTTGGTTGCAGTTCAACCAGTCAGTTTTTCAATCGCCCGCAACCGCCAGAAATCGCAACCACTCCGTTTGCGGGTGGCGGCGGTGCAACCAGTCGGCCCCTAAATGGCCAATGAAAGTAACTCGTGGTCAAAAATCAGTTTCGGGGTATGATCAATATCCAAATCACATCAACAATCGTGGTTTAAATCCCATCTGACTTCTCACCTTATACAATCATTCATATCTTATATTATAATCTGAGAGTATTTTTAACTTTCGAGATGATATGCAAATTCAATATGAGAAATATATTATTTTAAAACGCGTGTATTGAGGAGGAAGGATGTTTAATTAAACACTAAAGTTAAATTCCGGCAAAAAGCTTGGGTGCCCCTATCTGGGCCGGGTAGCTTGTATTTGGGCCCCCAAATTAGATAAATGTCACGTGATCTCGCCAGCATGGCGGGCCTCACAGCACGTGCGATGCCGTTTTAACAACTGTTTCTGCCCTGTGGTTGAATCCAGCTGTAATAACCGAAAAAAAAAACCCGCAAGCAACAGATTTCAAAATTCAAAAACTTGAATTTTTCAAGACGGGCCATTTTTAAAATTTGCCACCTAGGTTGACGTGGCACTCTCTGCGCCCTTGATTTGTTATATTCCCATTTAGGATTACCATATCTTAGCCGTTGAAACCGACTTCCCCTATAAATTAACCCCTTCCTTCTCTCTCCTATGTTCCACGTTCTCAAATCACTCCCCCTCCCCCGCTCCTTCAATCTCCGCTTTGCTCTCAATCCATTCCTAGGGTTTTCCCTGTGAGTAAAGATGCGTGAGATTCTTCACATCCAGGGAGGACAATGCGGCAACCAGATCGGTGCCAAGTTCTGGGAAGTGGTTTGCGCCGAGCACGGCATTGATCCAACGGGTCGCTACCATGGCGATTCGGATCTACAGCTCGAGAGGATCAACGTCTATTACAACGAGGCGAGTTGCGGGCGGATTGTCCCACGTGCCGTTCTCATGGATTTGGAGCCTGGAACCATGGACAGTGTTAGATCTGGTCCCTACGGGCAGATTTTCCGTCCCGATAACTTCGTCTTCGGTCAGTCCGGCGCTGGAAATAACTGGGCCAAAGGACACTACACCGAGGGTGCTGAGCTCATCGATTCGGTCCTTGATGTTGTCCGTAAAGAGGCCGAAAACTGTGATTGCCTTCAAGGTAATGTTTCTCTCTTATCCTGTAACGCCTTTGTTGTTTTGATTTGAAGCAGCCTGTGTGGATTTCTTCTCTTATTTAGCTACGTTGGGAAACTGTTAGTGTTCGGTTTTCGATATTGGTATCTTGGGCGAGGATTGTGTAGTGCTTTCTAGGATTCTGTGTATAGGACATACGGGTTCTAGGATTTCTAATTCAAATTTTGTCGGAGTTGCAGGGTTTCAGGTTTGCCATTCCTTGGGAGGAGGAACTGGTTCTGGTATGGGGACTCTGTTGATCTCAAAGATCAGGGAAGAGTACCCCGACCGCATGATGTTGACCTTCTCTGTCTTCCCGTCCCCTAAAGTGTCCGACACTGTAGTGGAACCGTACAACGCTACGTTGTCTGTTCACCAACTCGTTGAAAACGCAGATGAATGCATGGTCCTTGATAACGAGGCCTTGTATGACATTTGCTTCCGTACCCTCAAGCTTACCACTCCTAGTTGTAAGCATTCTTTTCTCCTTTCATTCATTATTGTACATATTACATAATGCTATTCTATCTGTGATATTGTGTAATGTATGTGAAATTCGAGTTGTCCTTGATAATGAGACCTTGTATGGCATCTGCATTGGCTCACTTGTGAAATTCGCTATGGTATAATGATATATGCAGTTGGTGATCTCAACCACTTGATCTCTGCAACCATGTCTGGTGTCACATGCTGCCTTAGGTTTCCTGGTCAGCTAAACTCTGATCTCCGCAAACTAGCTGTGAACCTTATCCCCTTCCCCCGCCTTCACTTCTTCATGGTGGGTTTTGCCCCTCTCACCTCCCAAGGCTCTCAGCAGTACCGTGCTCTCACGGTCCCAGAACTCACCCAGCAAATGTGGGATGCCAAGAACATGATGTGTGCAGCTGACCCACGGCACGGGCGATACCTCACCGCCTCAGCTATGTTCCGTGGTAAGATGAGCACTAAAGAAGTAGACGAACAGATGCTTAACGTACAGAACAAGAACTCATCCTACTTTGTGGAATGGATACCGAACAATGTGAAGTCGACGGTATGTGACATTCCCCCAACTGGGTTGAAGATGGCTTCAACATTCATAGGAAACTCAACGTCAATCCAAGAGATGTTCAGGCGGGTAAGCGAGCAATTCACGGCCATGTTCAGGAGGAAGGCGTTCTTGCATTGGTACACAGGGGAAGGCATGGACGAGATGGAGTTCACAGAGGCGGAGAGCAACATGAACGATCTGGTGTCTGAGTATCAGCAATACCAAGATGCCACGGCCGACGAGGAAGGAGAATACGAAGACGAGGAGGGTGAATATGAGCAAGAGGGTTACTAAGAGAGAAATGTAAACGGAACAGGAAAAAAAAAAGACTGTTAATAATTTCGTTATGTTTGTTAGCTTTGACATATTCATGATTTTTCACTCCCATTCAAACACGCAAGACACATGAGTCTAGTGATGACTTTGTGTTTATATTTTTTTATGGTCATGCATAAGTCTAATTCTAAATTTTAAAATTTGTAATTATTAAATGGATGTTTTTATTTACTTTAATATTAACGTTATAGCTATTCATTAAACAGTTTTGAATTTCTCCTCCTTTCGCACCATAATTACAGAGACCAAAAAACCCTCGAATGATGAAAAACTTGCGGGAAAATATACATATACGCATAGAGAAGAGAGTGCGGTCTCCGAGTGTTGCATGGAAGCAGTTCACTTTCAGTATTATATTCCTACGGACTGGTTCAAAGGAAATTGATGGACAGCGGTGAGAATCGTACGGTCAAAAATCCACGAAATCCTACGTTAGAGACCGTCCGATCAGACCAGCTTGTTTTATCGGATGGTGGAATCGAGCTTGCCGATAATGACAAGTTAAAAAAAAGGCAGTTATTGGCGTATGGTTCTCTAAACGCTTATATTGGGTTTAATAAGCCCATTGGGCCGTGAAGCCCGCGTAGAATACCCGAAATGCCCCTAGAGTGTTCTGGATTTACCTTTTTTTTCTCTTTTTTTTTTTAGGGTTTCTAGATTTTTCAGTTCCAAATTCCAATGGAGAAGCTCTGGAATTCTCTTTCGCAACCTATAAGTACATGACATGCTCCGATCCTCGTAAGTCAGGAAAAATCATTTGAATTCTCAATCTCTAAAGCGCGATTTTCTCAGCAACCAAACAACAAATCACTTCCGAGTTAACCCTCGAATCGCTTTGAAAATGTCGCTGATTCCGAGCTTCTTCGGCAACAGGAGCAGCATCTTCGACCCCTTCTCTCTCGATGCGTGGGATCCCTTCAAGGATTCTCCTCTCCCGTCGCCATCATTTTCCCGAGAAAACACAGCGATCGTGAGCGCGCGCGTGGACTGGAGGGAGACGCCGGAGGCGCACGTGTTCAAAGCTGACCTACCAGGGATGAAGAAGGAAGAGGTGAAGGTGGAGATCGAAGACGACAGCGTGCTGAAGATCAGCGGAGAGAGGCACGTGGAGAAGGAGGACAAGAACGACACGTGGCATCGCGTGGAGAGGTCGAGCGGGAAATTCTCCAGGAGATTCAGGTTGCCGGAGAACATCAAGATGGACGAGGTTAGGGCTTCAATGGAGAATGGTGTGCTGACTGTGACGGTCCCTAAGGTTGAGACCAAGAAGCCTGACGTCAAAAGCATCGAAATCTCGGGCTGAACACGTAATTTGAATCCCTGATTCCTGGATCGAGTCTGTGTTTGAATGGGTGTGGTGCTTCTGATTCTTGTTCATGTTCTGATCTGATATCTGTGTCTGTGTCTGTGTCTGCACTGCATCTACGTAAATTCCTGGTTCTGCAACTCATGTCCTGTTTTTATGTTCCGTCGTTATCTTATATAAATGGTCGAGTTCGAATGTATCTTTTACCCTTTTGGAAATTTGGCTTGCAGTATGCGATCAACTGTTTATTAAAAGAAATGACGAAATGTTATTTTTTTTGGGAAAAATAGCTTAAAATTTCTGAATTTGGTGTTTGAATTTGCATTTTAAAATATAATAATTTCTGAATTTATATTTTTTAACATAATAATTTCTAAATTTATATTTTTGAATATAATAATTTCTAAATTTTTTTGACCAATTATATTAAATAAATTCAGAAATTATTGTGTTAAAAAAATAAAGAAGTTAAGACGCATAAAGATTCCCCGCACGCAACTTTTATTACAATTATTACTATCTTTTATTATTAGACTTTTTTTTCAATTCAGGTCCATTCGATATTATGAGAAATTTATTTTTTTATTTCCTCCCTAAACAAAGACGTTATATATTCGGCATTGGGCTTAAAGCTTTCAAAATCGTTATTTTCCGTTCTCACCTCGTAAACACCAAATTTGGAAACGTCTTGGGAAGACGAACGGAGGAATCGGCGGAAGGAAAAAGCTCTCTCTCTCCCTCTCTTCATGAATTTCGATCCATCTGGTTGTTTAAGAGCGTAATCCGATCTGTTCTTCAATTCGTAGGGTTTCCGTTTCTGCACTCGACTCTTGTTGATTTCTTTTGTTGTTTCTTCGCTTTCTAAATGGGTATTGTACGATCGCCTTTGATGTGTATGTGTGTATGCATAGGTTGATCGAGAGATTGGTCGGACGCTGAGATTTGGGGAAAATGGCGAATAGGATAGATCAGGAGTACGATTACTTGTTCAAGATCGTTTTGATCGGCGATTCGGGTGTCGGAAAATCCAACATCCTCTCGAGATTTACGAGGAACGAATTCTGCTTGGAATCCAAATCAACCATTGGCGTTGAATTCGCCACCAGGACATTGCAGGTGATCCCTCTTCTCTTCTCTTTTTCCTCTTGATGAATATTTCGAAATTGATCAAGGCTTTTTCTGCCGTGGCCCTTTATCTGCATTGATAAAGCTCTGGTTGAAACAATTTCTTACTAGAATTGTGCGTCCAGGAAATGGAGTTTGTATGATCCAATTGTCGAAGTTTGCTCTTTGCTTGAATGTTAGAAGATTAGCAATGATGTTGATCCATATGTCAAAAACTTTTCAAAACAATATCATAGTTGAATACGAAGGAATTACTGATAATAGAATGAATTTAAATGGACAATATAATTTTCTTTTACAGGAATTCCTAATTACTGCCATGAAAATAAATAAACTCAAGCCAAATGGGTAGTAGAGTTTAATGGTAACACTTGAAAGGGTTGGTGTTTCTGTGTTAGTTTACAATGCCACGGGAAATTCTCATACTTGATGAATCAAGCGTGGCACTGTCGTGTCTGAAGCTGTTCTGCTGTGTCATAGATTTTTTTTTTCTTAGATGTTTATATATATATCGAGACACTGCAGCATTCAGATTGCGTGAAATGTTATGTTAATTATCAGGTAGGATTTAGATTTCTCTCAGTTTAATCATGCCCTCCTGTCTTGGATTTGGATTTGGTACAGGTGGAAGGCAAAACAGTGAAGGCTCAGATTTGGGACACTGCAGGTCAAGAGCGTTACCGAGCAATCACGAGCGCTTACTACAGAGGAGCAGTCGGGGCGCTCCTTGTCTACGACATTACCAAGAGACAAACCTTCGAGAACGTCCTGAGATGGTTGCGCGAGCTAAGAGACCACGCAGATTCCAACATTGTCATCATGATGGCTGGCAATAAATCTGATCTGAACCACCTGAGATCCATCCCTGACGAGGACGGCCGGTCTTTGGCAGAGAAGGAAGGCTTGTCCTTCCTCGAGACATCTGCCCTTGAAGCAACCAACATCGAGAAAGCCTTTCAGACCATTCTGTCTGAGATATACCATATCATAAGCAAGAAGGCTTTGGCTGCTCAAGAAGCTGCAGGTAACTTGGCGGTCCCTGGCCATGGAACTGCCATCAACATTTCAGACACATCTGAAACCAACAGAAGAGGATGCTGTTCTACTTAGTTCTATCCCTTTATCCACATTTGCTCTCCATCAGTATGTCAAATATGATCTTGAGAAGACAAACGAGTACAGATCAAACCAGAGGATGGAGGAGAAGTGGGAAATTTTATGAACCACTAAGGCTGGATTCGGAATAGTTGCCTCTGACTTCCCAACATTATTTGACATCAAAATTATCCAACAAGAGATTACACTGTACCGTTCATGAGACTCGGATTCTCCTTTGGACCTTTCTTGAGTGTTGTCATCCATTATAAATGACTGTGATTGTGGTGAATGGCAACATTCAAGTTTTTAATTTTCCAATTGTAAGGTTACTAGATCTGATTAGTAGTGTTTCATAATAATTGGATTGGAGAATATAATAGATAATTTTATAAAAATAAAGCAACTGCAATAAATTTGGAGAGTAGAATTATAGAACAAAACATGTAAGTGGTACATTTGTTTTTCTGCAAAATTATAGAATAAAATAAAATGACTACAGGATGATATGATTATATTTTTTGAAAAAAAATATAAATAAAATTTGTTATCAATTATCATATTAATACAAAATTTTAAATTTCTCAAAAAAACAAGAGTTTTTTTTCGATTTTTAGTTAAATTCATGAATTAATCCGAAAAATATACAAAATTTTAGACGTTATAAAAAAATATATGTATTGTTTAGAAATTTTGAAACGCGTGTATTAAGCTTTTATATATAGTAAATAACACCATTAATAGTAAAAACACCTCATTTTATTTGGTTTAATAAATCATTGTATTAAAGCTCATGGATTAATATAGAAACAGATCAGCTATACACCTAATACGACGACCATTATAATCGAAACACGTCACGTGCTCCCACCGCTGTTTCATGAAAACAGATTAGGTTTTGATTGATGCGTTTTTTAGGCGCACTTGCCAGTTGCCACCACGTTCGGCCAAAATCCAAATACGCCTTCCCTACGTAATCAATCACCCTTAGTTTTTTTTTCTCTGTTCGTATCGAAAGCGATCCAATGGAAACCGAAAAATCTTTGTATTAGATTTTAAATTCCCCATTTTACAAAAATAAAAAATAAAAAACAAAGGCCATGCGTCACCAGGGCGAGAGAGAGAGAGAGGGAGTCAAAGGGTGAGAAATACAAAAGCGCAGAATCCAGATTCCCTTTCCGTGACAGTCTGTCTCCGCACTCGTGGCCCTTCTCCTTCCTCTCTTTCACTACTATTCTCTCTCTCTCTCTCTCTAGATTTTTCCATCTCCCTCCGAGGGATCGACCGAGCAAGTTTTCTCTCTCTCTCTCTCTTTTTCACTTCCATGGCTTCCTTGATCGAATCCGGTTGGCAGGTACTGTCTCTCTCCTTCTCCGTCTCCCTCTTCCTTCTCATCCGTGTGTCTGCGATTTCGATTTTCTCGTTTTCTTCGTTCCGTTTTTTCCCCTCGATTTCCCTGCGTGTTCTTCGTTTTCGGCGTCGTCCTTTCGCCGCATTGTCACACGAGTGTCTGTGTGATTGCTGTCATTATTTAGTCAACAGGACTAGATTTCTTGGATCGGTGTGGTCCCGTTTGTTAGATTTGGGTCCCTGCCGATTGCATTGTTGTTTCAGATCTGAATTTGGCTGTGTTTGTGCCAAAGCGGCTAGGATTTCGAGCGTGATCCGAGTCTTTGTTTGTACTTGGAGTTTGAGCGGATTTAGATTTCTGAAACTGAACAATCAGGCTTTTAAGTGATTAGCGAGGAAAATTTCCATTTGAATGATTTCTTTCTTAGATATTGCATGCAGACAAACTGGTGCTGATGTTTCCGTATTTTGGGATGATTACGATCAATGAGCTTATACTGATAGGTGTTAGTTCTTCTCTAGCAGATTATTGATATCCCCTAGTTCCGTTTTATGCATTTATTTTATGCAACGAATGAGTCTGGATGGATGAAATCGGCACGTTTTCAGAAGGTGACGACTGACACTTTTTTCATAAATCATGCAGTATCTTGTAACACATTTTAGCGACTTCCAATTGGCATGCATTGGGAGTTTTGTTCTCCATGAAAGCGTGTTTTTCTTGTCCGGGCTTCCCTTCATATATCTAGAAAGGGCTGGATTGCTGAGCAAATACAAAATTCAGGTTGGTGTTTTCGTATTCTTCTCGTCACCGCGGGGGCCTTTGATATGTAACTTTGCATGTTCTTTTGGATTGAATGAAATATTGAGAAACCAACTAAGGATCAGTCATGTCTGAATTTCCATTTCTTTTTCTCGAAATCTGAAATGATAATTGTTTCTACTTTGATGGATTGTGTGCCTTGACTCGAACACAAGTTTTATATTAACATTACTGTTGCTTGGTCCTTGCAGACAAAAAATAACAGCCCTGCAGCTCAGGAAAAATGTATAACGCGCTTGCTGCTCTATCATTTCTGTGTAAATTTGCCATTGATGATGGTCTCCTATCCTGTCTTCAAATTCATGGGCATGCAGAGCAGTCTTCCCCTGCCGTCCTGGTATTATCAGGTTCTTTAGTACTGAAGCTTTTTCCTTTGGGTTCTGATGTTAAAATCTTCCCATTGGCACTAGTTAATTAAAAATGCGAGCTTTGCGCTGCATGAGAGGAGGACTCATTGTTATTATAGTATATGATGCCATCTTTTCCCATCCTCTTGCAGGAAAGTCGTGTCTGCCCAGATACTCTTCTACTTCATCATTGAGGATTTTGTGTTCTATTGGGGACACCGAATCTTGCACACAAAATGGCTGTATAAGCACGTGCACAGTGTACATCATGAGTAAGTTATAGTATTCACCATTCATGTGTTTGACGATGTTATTAGTCTGTGATGGTCCTTACTGGCATCATTTTTGTTGATATTACAGATATGCTACACCATTTGGTTTGACATCCGAATATGCCCATCCCGCTGAGATTCTATTCCTGGGTTTTGCGACTATCGTCGGTCCTGCTCTCACTGGTCCCCACCTGGTAACTCTATGGTTGTGGATGATGCTCAGAGTTCTTGAGACGGTTGAGGCACATTGTGGTTATCATTTCCCATGGAGCCCCTCAAATTTTCTTCCTCTCTATGGAGGGTAAATATTACACAACTAACGTAACTGTCTTGAGGGAATCACCATAAATCTTCTACATCATTGTATGATTTTTTTTTTCAATTTAATTTGCAGTGCTGACTTCCATGATTATCATCACCGGCTGCTCTACACAAAGTCTGGCAACTATTCGTCAACTTTCATCTACATGGACTGGTATATCTCTGAACTTTCCTTGGGAATTCTCAGGTTTCATCATTTGGTTAACACACTTCTCGACTATGGCATATAACTTCTTCCACTTTTATCGAGTCTTATTTTCTGGTCATCTCCACACCCAATTGAACCTTGATATATATAGGAAGGATAAGTTGTGAATCCTTTGAACTCCCATGGTATTGTCCCTATGGGAATATGATAACTTCTGCTCATGCATAATTTTCTTATTCCTCTGTTCCTCAGGATTTTTGGTACCGACAAGGGTTACAGAAAACTGAAAGCTCTAAAGAACCAGGGCGATGAATCCGACATCAAGCAAACGTGAGATGAAAAATTTCGGACTCGAAGCTTCATGCAATTCGATAGTTGTTTTTCCTCGGATCCGTTGGCATCTCGGGAGAGGTTATTATCCTCTTCTCCCTTTTTTTTTTGTTGTTGTGTAGTTTCTGCATTGTCTAGAATCGTTACTTTGTCACAATGTGGTATGGCCGGAATGATTTCTTCTAAACTGTCGGGTGATTTATCCATGCGAATAGATAAGTTACCGTGTTTGCGAATCTATTTTGATTGCTGGATCAAAGCTTTGGAGGGGGGTTTGGTCATCATCTTACATGTTCTTATTGTGTCTACTCGGTTACTTGTCCATTTTTATATATGGGGTTTGTGAGTTTGGTAGGGAATTAAGTATGATCGGTTTTCCATGCGCTGCTGCAACCTTTACCTTTGCGGCAGAAACAAACACACGCCCGAAGGTACGTAAACGAAGAACTCGACTCTTTTGCATTTTTCTCAATTTAGAGATCTTAGTGATGCTACGGTATTAAGGCAAAACTCCATAGAGTGAAATGAACTCAAATTATTTGCAAAAATGCCTTTCTTGACAAAGTAGATAGTACCGTTTTATGTAATGTACTAAACCGTACAGCATCCCGTGATTTTAGTCTCAGATATGAAATCTTGCTGGAAGAATTTTGGTAGATGCGTCAGTCGCCGTGATTTTCCATGACACTGCTTCTCTTTATTTTCCAAGGGCTCACTGTCTAAGTGGTTTTGAAAGGATGAGAACATTTGAATAAGAACAGCTGAGATCGTATGTGTAGCAATTTTGAAAATTTGGACTATAATCCAAAACTTCCAAAGGGAAGAGGCAGCTATGGCTGTTTACCACTATACAAAATATTCTTTTCCATAAACCTACCATTTCTTAACCGTGATGGCACATCTCTTCTTCTCTTTCGTTTTATTTCCTCGCATATATTCTACATGAAAAAATTTAAAAGGTCGAGAAAGAACACTAACCATCCCCCGGTTTACCACTTTGGTTACATACCGGGTCTAAGTCCTCTCTTCTCTTCTTTCTCACAATTTTTTTTTTGTCTAAAGGATTTCTCGGACAGAACACCCACAGACCCCAAGGACAAATAAAAGAACCCTAATTTTATAGTGTCCCAGAGTAATTAGTGTCCATCAACGTGTCCCCTTCCTGAGATCGATTACGACAACGCTGACGTTGTCGTTGCTGTTCCTCGTCAACGCTAGCTTCGTCAGCAGTACGGACGCCGCCGTACATGCCTGGTCCGATATCTCTCCCTTTCTCCCCTTCCTCTTCCGCCTTGTCCCCACCTTCTCCTTCTCCTCCTCCTCCTCCTCCTCTTCATCCGTTGATCGGCGCCTTCCGCCTCGAGCCTTTCCGCTGAGACACATGTGCGCCACCGCGCAGGCCGTCTCGTTCGACACCACGTCCCATAACCCGTCGCTTGCTAGTATAAGACAGTCGTCGTCGTCGGTCCGGTCCGTTATGGTTATCTCCGGCTCGCAACTCACGTAGGGCTTCAAGTAGTTGTCGCCTATGGCTCGTGACATCGCTAACACGCCGAGAACTCTCGGGCCGTCCCAGTAGATAACTCGCCCCCCCGCGGCCTGGATTCGGTCTAGCTCGTCCGGACGATCGGGCTGTAGTTCAGATCAATGAGCAGGTTGAGCTTTATCAGAGAACTTCCACGTTAAGTTTTGGTGTTATAATAACAACTCTTGTCACGGATTAAAAAAAATGGTTTTAGAATAAACCCGCGAGAATAACTGTAAAATAATGAAAAGTTGAAAGAAAAAGCAGGGCCTTCCAGGTGGTTTCTGTTGGTTTGTTTGGCTACCGAGAAAATGAAATTCAAAAATTGAAGAAACGGGTCCCCCACGATTTGAGAAAGCGAGAGAGAGAGACTGGCCTTGTGATCGGTGGAGAGAGCGATGGGTTTTCCTTTACGGCAGAGAACGGCCCTGGAGTCGCCGCAGTTAGCGACGATGATCTTCTCCGGCGTTATGACGGAGACGACGGCGGTGGATCCGACGGCGTCGCATTCCGCCGCCTGAAGGTCGCACCTGCAATTCGCGCCCTTAACGGTCTTCTTCCACGATACAACCTCCTTGTCCATGCGCGCGAAGCTACGCTTCATCGTACGATTCCACTCTTCCTTCCCATATTCAAGCAGCTCCTCCTGCACCAGCTTGTGAAGCCTCTCTCTACACCTCCACGCCACCTGCAGGAACAAAACGCGCCGTTTAAGGTAAATACACCAGAAAATATTTGAATTTTGAAATTGCTCAAGAGCGGGACAGAATGGAAACGGAAACGGCGTCGTACATGGGAGCAGCCATGGCCGTCGTACACTCCGAAGTAGTGCCATCTCGATTTGGAATATCCCGGGAAAAACGAATGATGGATCGCCACCGCATCCTCCATATCTCTTCTCCTACCGCACACCGATGTGACGCCGTATTTCGGAGATGGAACCGGAGATTTGCGGGATCCGTCGCTTACATCCGTCGCCATTTCCTTTTGAACGCTCTCGTCCGTATCCTCGCCGGAGCTCTGGGAAAACACCGCCGTACTGCTCGATCCTTCACTCTTCTCCTGCTTCTTCCGCTTACTGTCTTCCTCCGGCGCCTTCAGATCCACCCCCGGAGACATCCGCAACCGCTGGACTCCCATTCTCCGCCACCGCGCCGGCCTAGGCTCGCACCCCGACGGTGACTCGTCATCTTTCACTACTCCGTAACAAATATCCGCCATCAAAACTGTTACGCGATTACAAAGATAATTCAGAGTTACGTTTGGTTGCCAAGAAGGCGGAAGCCAAACCATGCAACAAGAAAATATCGTTTCCGCGTGTTGCTATGGCGCTTTTAATACTCAGAGGCTGCCATGGTTGAACAGTTTATGCCCTAAATTAATTTTATTTTTTGCGTTGGAAGCATGACGTAGTGGTCTTCTGCCTAAACCGTTAGATCTCAGCCGTTCATCTTGACACCACGTTATCTAGATTCTCGCCACGTAAGCGTCATGAGCCGGTGGAAGATACGTGACCCAATAAGAACTATACAGCGAGGATCATAAGAAGTCCTTTCGCGCCACGATTGTGGTCCTCCTTTTTTCTTTTTTTTCTTTTTTTTTTTACTAGAGAGGAACTTTTTTCCAAATCTCTTTCTTAAAAATTTTTCATAATTAATTCATAATTAAATGAATTTCATTACGTTAATTAGGTTAAACACGTGTTTTTTAATAAGAATGATTTGAGTTTACTTTTCAGGCCTTACAAATTTTACTGAAGGAAAAAATTAACTGTAGGTGCTGGTCTTTGAAATAATTACATTCTAAAAATCATTATTGGAATATGACGCACCAAAATTTTGTGAACAAGCATCTTTAAAACTTGTAAACAGCAATGATATCTTGATATTAATTTAGGCACGAGATAAAATATGCTATAATTAAATGCTTGATTAGCTAAATCACATATTATCAAAAAAAAAAATATGCTATAATTAAATGCTTGATTAGCTAAATAAACATCGTGGAAAATACTACTATTAATAACAAAAGACACGTAAGTGTGTTGGGATTAGGATTTTTTTTTACTGAAAAAATTAAGAAGTGGCCCAATAAAATGCCTCAACGTATCCTTTGTTCATTTCGGCGAGTGGGCCCCGTTCAGAATCTAAGGCTCCCTGTTTCTTTTTCTGACCGTACACGTGCTATCATGGCTCCCTTCATTTTGACCTTGCTTGCGCCTCGGCCCCACCATCAATTTCATTCTCGCGTATTTACAATCGCTGCCCCCCATTAAATCGGAAGTCACATTTTTCACCCCGATAGTTTTTTCTACACATTTGTATGATCTTGATCCGTGTTCGATTCGATTGGATAATAATAAAGTTTGAGAAAAACTTTTAAATTTTTTATAGTTTAACATTTAATTTATATTAATTATTTGATTTAATATAATTATTCTCCATTAAATTTAAAACAAAATTGGATTAGATTGTAATTAAGCATAATTATCGTCATTTCTCATCATACAAAAATGTGAATAACGGGCATGTATTTGTTTAGGCCAACCCGTCTAAATCGTGGGCCTGATGGGCCGGCTTATTATAGTAGATGGGCTAGTCAATCGTGTTGCGGGCCACAATGCCGAAAAAATTGTGGGGCCGACAAGAGATCGTTGAAGACAGAACAGAAGCCCAAACCCCTTTCCTGTCCTCTCAGCGTTATCTGTGGTATTGAAGTGTTGCTAATCTCTTGTTTTACCACTTACTCGAAAGCCCTTTGATAGGCCATTCGTGTATGCGTTCACTAAGCACAGGCTGATTTTCCGTCACGAGTATGCACTCTTGCCCCCCAAAACCTGAATCGCCGGTCTTTTGCTCGTGAGAAACCATGTAAAGACTACAACTTTGACAATGGCGAAGAAGGATGAAGCCGAAGGAGAGTGGTCATGCCTTGAAAGACTCCATCTTTGGTCTCTGCAACTCCTCTCTGTAGAAGGAGAGATTATTCAGAGGAAGAAAAGATTCAGTCACAGTTTCACGCAATGGAGTTGCAGTCGCATAGCAATTGACTGTAATGTTCAAGACTTTCATTCAAGACAGACCCGAGCTCTCTTGCTCCCCCGGTGACATAACAGAATCAGAAAACCTTATTCAAGAAACCAAAAACCACACTGCATATTATTCTGAAAAGTGTTCACTCGTTCTCAAGCTTGGGGCTGATAGGAGAAGCCATTAACGGTGAGACCTCCATCCACGCAAATGGTCTGACCCGTTATGTAAGAAGCAGCATTCATACACAGAAACGCCACGAGTGACGATACCTCCTTCGGCTCTCCAAAACGGCCCAACGGCTTTCTCGATGTCACGATCTTCTTGAACTCCTCATCATAAACCTGAATAAGATTTCGCATTAAAAGAGATTCAAGAAGACGAGAAAATATACGAGCGAAGAGTATAATGAAGCTGCAATTTTGAAATTGTTTTCGAGTTACAGCTTCAGCTAGAGGAGTTGCAATGACTCCAGGAGCAACGGCATTAACCCTTATGTTGTCGCTTGCCCACTCGCAAGCCAGGTTTCTTGCAAGCTGGTTCATAGCTCCTGCATATACACACATACATACATACATACATACATATACGCGTATATGAAAGAAAGAAATCGATAATTCAGCCGGGAAACCACCCCCGGAAAGAAAAAAAACGAGAACTTGTTAATATGTATAAAGACAATAATAACATGGATCTGGGTTTTGCTGGAAACTAATTGTAAAGAACATACCTTTGGTTGCACTATAGATGGAGCCGACACTAAGGGATACAACCCCGGCGACAGAGGACATGAACACGATGCTCCCATAACCCGAGGCCTTCAGGAAAGGGTGTGCGAGCTGGCTCAAATGGTAAGCTGACTCCAAGTTCGTGGAAATGTGAAATGAGAAATCTTCTGCTATATATTCTATAGTCGGCTTTACAATAACAGCTCCCACATTGTTTATCTATAAAACACACAATATAATCAGCCTAAATCGCATCTGATGTACACATTACTCTGATTTAACAGTTTGTCCCAAAGAAGAGTGTAAGATCATTGTTAAATTCAAGAGTGTAAAGCATATTACGCACGAGGATGTTGAGTTTGCCATGGAACAGAGAGGAGACAGTGTCCATAAGCTTCTCTCTGTCGGAACGAGAGGTGAGATCACAGACTGAACCAGTGACTGAAAACCCCTTTGTTTGCCATTCGCGTAAGCACTCGTTAAGCTGAGTTTCGTCCCTCGCGCACGTGTGTATCGTTGCCCTAAACCCTGCAAGTTCCTCCACTGTGGAATACCTAAAGATTCATGCCGTAAAAAGAATTAAGGCTTTTGCTTGTAGGGTTTATGGAAAAGTTGAGCAATTTGAACGACACAAGTAGACGGAGACCGAACCCGATCCCTTTGGTTCCGCCAGTAACAAGGGCAGTCATGCCTTGGAGACTCCACCTCTTGTCTCTGCAACTATTGTCGGCTTCGGCCATTGTTGGAATTCTCTCTGTGAAATCGAAGAAGAAAGAGAAACAGATTGAGAAGAAAATTACAGTGTCCATCCAAAAAAAAACCCCATGTCCTATTTGCACACAATTCAAGGCATTCGAAACCTTTTCCTTCTCCTGTCCTGGTATATGAAAAGGATAGGTTATAATGATCATAGACCACAACTACATGCATTCCAGATATTTACTTACAACGCTCGGAATCCACACGATAATTTTTTTTTTTTTTAAATTTAGGTGGGAGTTCATGGGCCCACTACTGCACTACATCTCCCTCCGGCCTTGGCCCAAGAAATGCTAATATCCTCATCCTTTGGGTAAATTAGTTCGTAATTTTCTTTGCTAATTACTTTGTTATAAAATTTAGAGTAAATAATCGGTTATGTATATGTATTATAGACTGTTGACCATCGATATAATATGGATTGATAAATTATATATTATTATAATTAGTAATATGTATAATCGTTATTATTACCTCTCTAACAAAACACATGAAATCCTGAGTTTCTGTGTTTCTAATGATAAAATTACAATGCATTATTGTATTGTAATTTTGACATAGATAATCTGGTACAGAGGAATACGCATTTCGGATATGAAATCATAATATTCGAAACTCTTATAGTATCATTTTATTCGTACTGGTTCAGTGGTGATAGGAGAAGCCATTGACGGTGAGACCTCCGTCGACGCAGATGGTCTGACCGGTTATGTAAGAAGATGCCGGAAGACACAGAAACGTGACGAGCGACGCAACCTCCTCCGGCTCCCCGACACGGCCGAGCGGAGTTCTCGACATCAAAGCCTTCTCCACATTCTCATCTTCAAGAAACTGAAAAACAAGATTTTGCAAGAATGCAAGATTATTCTTACATGTTATAAATCTCCACAATGAATGGAAGTGTTTTTTGTTTTGGTTACGGGTTGTGCCAAAGGAGTTGAGATGGAATATGGAGCGACAGCGTTAGCCCTTATGTTGTCGCTTGCCCATTCGCACGCCAAGTTCCTTGCTAATTGATTCATGGCTCCTGGTGCATGAAGTCAGTGGAATGGCTTAGAAAGGGTTCTATTACAACGACTGCGCGTTTAATCTGGAATGCGTACCTTTGGTTGGACCGTAGATGGATCCAAGGATACACGATACAATTCCGCCGCTAGAGGAGTTGAACACGATGCTCCCGGATCCCAAAGCCTTCAACAGAGGATACGCGAGCTGACAGAGGTGGTAAGAAGACTCGAAATTCGTACGCATCAGAAACGAGAAATCTTCTGCTGTATACTCTGTAGTCGGCTTTGGTAAGACTGTGCCCACGTTGTTTATCTATGTTCAGAAAAAGGGCAACATCTGTTTTCCGAAAATTTTCTTTTGTATATGTTACGTATTTTGTATAAGATTACTTACGAGAAGGTTGAGTTTGCCGCGGAAGAGTGAGGAAACCGTCTGCATCAATTTCTGTCTCTCGGACCGACATGACACATCGCAGACAGAGCCAGTTACTTGGAGGCCTTTAGTTTGCCATTCACGCAAGCATTCGTTAAGCAAAGATTCGTTTCTGGCACATGCGTGTACTCTTGCCCCGAACCCCGCCAGTTCCTCCACCACCGCCGACCTGGAAAAACCGTCAAGTCAATAGACTCAGGCTTCATCAATGTATTATTCCCATACGGATGAATCAGAATCTGAACTGATAAAGATAGAACAAATTCAGAGGAGGAGTCCGAACCCGATCCCTTTGGTTCCACCGGTGACCAGAGCGGTCATGCCTCGAAGACTCCATCCGCTGCTGCTATCCATTCTCGGGAGATAGAGAGATTTGTGACACGAAGAAAGGTTATCCAAGGAAATACGAGCAGATGAGGGCATTACCCTTTATATTAACATCACGTTTCAATAACCATTAAGATCCAAGTCAAAGTTACGTGGACAATGCCTTCCACAAAGATAACGTTTTAGTAGCCTTGAGGGAAAAACTACATTACAGAGTTTGGCCCCTGTTCTAGAACATTCACACGTCACAAACGATTCTCCCTAGAGAGAGAGAGAGAGAGAGAGAGAGAGAGATGGGGGGGAGAGGAGTTCTTGAACATCAAAGTCAACAGAGAAACTGAAAACACATGTTAACGACAATAGACGACTTTCCAAGAAGAGAGTTAAAGGTCAAAGAAAGAACCAACTATAATAAAGTTTAGCCAGACACGACGCTGCTGATACAGACCACACGTATGCAATCTCGGTGTGATCTGTATCTTTGGCAACAAATGTTCAGGACGTGGAATCAATCAAGATCAGCAAAAGTTTCCTCTTTATGTATATCCGTATTTGTAACGTTTCCTGTTTTATATATACCCTTTTTGTGTTCTCTGTATATATATGACTCTATCATTGTGAACCAAAAAAAGGGAGAAACTATGTCAGAAAGCTTCTCTCCCATCTCTCTCGTTTAGATCTCTGAAGTGCTGTTGTTTTCTCGGAGTTTACAAAACCTGAGCTTTGCACTCCAGGAGATTGATTTTCTACAAACACAACCCAGATGGCGTCTCAGGTGTTTCCCTTCTCCATGTTCCTCCTCCTCTTGTCGTTTTCTCTCTTCCTGCAACAATGGTTTCTGTACGGACAACTTCGTATTCGAAATGACAGGTCTTGGTGGAGGAGAAGTCATGTGTCAGAATATTCACACTAAGCAGACCCCAGCAATTGAATGCTCTTTCCTTCCCCATGGTATCTGCCCTGTCTTCTTCTTCTTCTTCTTCTTCTTCTTCTTCTTCTTCTTCTTCTTCTTCTTCTTCTTCTTCTTCTGTTCCGATGATTTCATCTTCCATGAGGATTTTTTTTAGTTCAATGAATTTTTTTGGCTGAATCTGTTTCTAGCTTTCTCGGCTGCTGGAATTGTTCCTTGCATTTGAAGAGGACCCTAACGTGAAACTCGTCATCCTCAAGGTACTCGTCTGTCTGGATTCCGACCACACTGAGAAACCAGCTGTTATCATCGGGAAATGATTAACAGAGTTTGGTTATTAAAGCAAGCTAAAATCTAAGGATATAGTTATGTTTCTTGGAACTGAAGCTGCCAAAACAGAAAAAACTTTCCCTCTGACATGTTCGCAAACTCTAATATGGTATCTGAGCCACGAGTATTTCTGCTTTTTCATCATCGATTCCCTTCACATTTTTTCGATTCTTCTGTCTTTTAATCTATCAGGAAAACCGAGAATACGATAAATATTTCTCTGTATCTATGATATTCTGTGCCCATCTGTAGGGACAAGGAAGAGAGCACGCTCCACCATGAAGCTGCCCTCAGAAGAGCGTTTTGTTCAGGCGGCGATGTTGCAGCTGGTTTTCCCGATATTAGACGGGGGGGTATGATAGTTTCTAAGCTCAGAGCCTCCATATCATCATTACCATTCTCCCTCTTCATTTTCTGTCTCGGCTTATGATTTTCTTCTCATCCAAGTTACGTTCTTCGTCTTTGTCTAAACTTAGGTCACTGGAGGCCAGTTGCAGATTTCATGTATAAGCTATACGTAACGAGTTATGTCATAGCAACAAATAGCAAACCACAGGTCTTACATGTTCTTGGTTTGGTGATGGAAAGTATAGAACTCGATGTGGAAGTGTTTTTCAATGTCTAACTTATTCTGGCCTAACTACAGATCTCGATTCTAAATGGTATTGTCATGGGAGGTGGCGTTGGCATCTCGGTACATGGTAGATTTCGTATCGTGACTGAGAACACGGTACCGGTTTTTAGCTGTCTCCAGGCTTAAACTTGTTCGGTGTCATCATTTCTGTAACCGATATGCTTATGTTTTTCCAATCTGATTTTTATTTCTGGAGTTCTTTTCAAGGTCTTTTCCATGCCCGAGACTTTTCTTGGACACTTTCCAGATGTGGGTGCCTCATACTTCTTGTCAAGGCTCCCTGGATCTTTTGGTGATTCAAGTTCCGATTTTCGCAAGTTATTTAGAACCAGTTGAAGATATGGTAGATGAATCCCAATCTCCTTTTCTCTTGTCTGTGTAGGAGAGTATATTGGCCTGACAGGGACAAAGCTAGATGGCGCCGAGACGCTTGCCTGTGGACTCGCGACCCATTTCGTCCCTTCATCTGTACGGTTAACAAGTTAAGGAAATATCTGTTTCTTTGCCAAAGATCGATACTTACGTGAGATTGTTCTTTGTGACAGAGATTAGATGCATTAGAAGCAGATCTTTGCAGGGCAAGTGCAACAGATGCAGCCTCCATTTCAGAAATTATCAACGCATATTCTCAGAAGCCCTGTCTGAAAGAATCGAGTGCTTACCACCGGCAAGTATCGATGTTTTTTTTGTCTCAGTTATCCATGTTTGTAGGAAGTGCCTTGGTCATGTCTGCCAAATCTTCTTCCTTAACAGGTTGGAAGTCATCGACAAATGTTTTTCGAGACAAACCGTCGAAGAAATTTTATATTCACTTGTAAGTCGATTCCCTTCACACCAAAGGGCTTATGATACATTTTCATCTGTTGGTTAATAAGCCATGCATGAAATTATACATGTGCTCTATACATACAGGAGAGGGAGGCTGCTCGTGAAGCAGATGATTGGGTCTCGACCGCAGTTCTTGCACTGAAGAAGGCCTCTCCGACAGGCCTTAAGATTGCTCTTAGATCTGTGAGGATGTCTCTTCTTGCAATCAGTGTTGTGACTTGTCAGTTTGTTACCACTGTCTGAAGCTGACAGCGAATACAAATCGTGTTGCAGATAAGAGAAGGGCGGATGCAAGGGGTTGGGCAGTGCCTTATCCGCGAGTTTAGGATGATTTGTCATGTAGTTAAGGGAGATATCAGCAAGGATCATTTCGAGGTTTTTTCCCGACATTCTCTGATCATATATGGCTATGATCTCCCTCGCGATTCCCTGTTAACTGTTAGGAGTCACTGCAGGGGATAAGGGCAATATTGATAGATAAGGATAAGAACCCCAAGGTAAAACACTCATCTCCCTTGATTTACTCCTATGTACATGGATCGGGTATTCAAAATTTTCGGATTATCTTAATCCTAACTCGAATATTTAAATTTCTGTGTTACCTGAATCTGAATCCGAAATTCATTTCAAGAGATTTCAGCAGGTTTGTAAGTAATATCTCTAAAACATATGGGCAAAACTGTCACTTTACTATTCATTTGGTACTGCCGGTGCAGTGGAACCCGTCGAGACTGGAGGACGTGACAGAGAGCATGGTCGAGCATTACTTCCAGGCAGTGACGGAGGATGGATGGACGGATTTAAAGCTTCCACCGCGACCTAACTTGCCCGCTTCATCAACCTCAAAGCTGTGAGAAGACGTGTACAATGACTTGGTGAGCTCTATGCAAATTTCATATGATATGATCAATCGTGGATCTATTCACATTTCAATTTCTATAAAATAATGTTCGGGACGAATATCTACGAAGATTCACATGAACTGAGTCTGAGTCATAGTAACGAAAACCGATCAGGACCTCGAAAGGTTCCAGACATTAACAAGAACAAGAACTGATCATATGATATAAGGGAATAAACAGAGAAGGAAGAAAACAGAGTTCAGACCGGTGACTGATAGGAGAAGCCATTGATGGTGAGACCTCCGTCGATACAGACGGTCTGACCAGTTATGTAAGAAGATGCCGGAAGAGACAGAAACGTGACGAGCGATGCAACCTCCTTCGGTTCCCCGACACAGCCCATCGAAGTTCTAGACTCCACAGCCTCCTTCACCCCTTTCCAACCAACATAAGGAAAGAAAAACCAAACTTAATCTGGATAGAGAATTAGGGAATTTACTAAACGATGGATCGAGTTTTTTTTCTAAATTACGTTTACAACCGAAGGGGTTGAGATGAACCAAGGAGCCACCGGCCCACCGAGTTTGCCCTTATGTTGTCGCTTCCCCATTCGCACGCCAAATTTTTAGCTAACTGATTCATGGCTGCTGTATATTCTGCATTGTACGGTATACACAACAGCAAGAGTAATCATGGATGACGAGTTAATAAAAATATAAAAAAGAATACCAAATAAATACACAAATTTGTTATCAATTTCAAAAATTAATACATGAACGGTAGTTTTTGGGGAGTCTTCTTGGAAAAAAAAATTAAGATATACCTTTTGTTGCGCCATAGATGAAAGCGGAGTGAAGGGATACAACCCCAGCAACAGAGGACACGAAGACGATGCTCCCAGATCCTGATGCCTTAAGCAAAGTATGTCCGAGCTGACTCGTAGCCATGCTTAACCAGAAATCTTCTGCTGTGCATTCCACGGTTGGCTTCGAGAAAGCTGCGGCCACATTGTTTACCTATATATGTATATGTATATATATATGTGTACATTGAAAGAATTAAAGGTGCAAGAATGACCATCCATAAGCAGATACATAGGGCATTGTGATAAGTGTCCCACATTGGAAAATGAGAGGGATTTGGGCCAATATATAAGTAAGGGTCAAACATCCACTCTTAAACTAGCTTTTGTGGTGGAGTTTGGGTCTAAATCTTATTAATTGGTATCAGAGCCTGGTTCTCTACTTTCCGGTGGCCCTTTGACGGGCCGTTCTCCTGCGGACATGCGGTCGACTCGGTGGTTGTGGGACGGTCGGGGATGGACCGAGAAGCCGCCAGCGACCAGATTTGCTCCAGCGCCGTGGACGTCGCTGTCTAAAGGGGGCGGTATTGATAAGTGTCCCACATTGGAAAATGAGAGGGATTTGGGCTAATATATAAGTAAGGGTCAAACTTCCACTCTTAAGCACATTGATTACTTACGAGGATGTTGAGTTTGCCACCAAAGAGAGATGAGAGATTCTGCATGAGTTTATGTCTCTCGGGCCAAGAAGATAAACCACAGACGGAACCAGTGACATGAAAGCCTTTGGCTTGCCATTCACGTAAGCATTCCTCCATCAGAATTCCGTCTCTAGTGCATGTATGTACTCTTGACCCAAATCCTGCCAGTTCCTCCACCACCTCGTACCTGATGAGAAAGTTTACATAATAACAGAGTTTAAGTATTGATATAGATATCGACAAAAAGGAGCAATTAATCCTAACCCGATTCCTTTGGTTCCACCGGTGATAAGGGCGGTCATGCCTTGAAGACTCCACCTGTTATCCATCATTGTGCGGTGGCTGGCATATGACAACTAATAAAAAGATGAAGGATCAAATAAAGGCAGACGCGGTGAGAGAGAGTTTGCCAAAAAAATGTGGTCCATCCAGAACAGGCCCGTCTTATCGGGGAGCAACGGGATATTATTTTTTCCTTCTACGCCTGGTACATTCAGATTGGCCTCAGCCTCATACATCAAACTGTCTTTCCACACACAGAAAAAGTGAGGTTGAATAACAAAAAGTTCACAAAATAGAATGAATGACGGCAAATCTTGTAAAGTGACAAAGGAAGTGAAGATAGTCATGTCTTTGGGTAGAAACCGTTTATGGACATTCCTCCATCAATACCAATAACTTGCCCTGTAATGAATGAGGAAGCAGGTAAGCATAAGAAGGCCACTGCAGAGGCAACCTCTCTCGGTTCTCCAAGCCGGCGGAGAGGAGTTCTCGAGTATACTTCTTCCAGGTAGTCTTCATTGATAAGGATCTGTGACCAATCCGTATCATCAGAATTAAGACACCATCAGCAATCACTGAAGTCTCTTGTCAAATCTTGAATATCAATCAAACTCATGTGGATATATGAGCAAAAGCATTAAAATGAGAAGTGATGCACTATTGAACAACAAAAACTCGGAAAATTTAGCTTAAATCTTTCGCGTTCAGTGGGATCTTAGAAAATTACTTGCTCCACCATTGATGTTCTGATATACCAAGGTGCAACAGCATTGCTCCTTATATTGTCCTTAGCCCACTCGCAAGCCAGATTCCTCGTAAGTTGGTTGATTGCTCCTGAAAAAACTCAAGGGAAACGAGAAGAGCCAAAAAAAAATCTGTTGGTTGATTGCTCCTTATATTATATAAACACCTTGGTAAGACTTTAACAGATAACATACTGCAGAAGATGAAGTTTTTCCACAAAAGTCAACACCTTTGGTTGCAGATTGGACAGACATATTCTTGAGTGAGACAAAACCAGATATGGAAGAGATGAACACAACACTTCCAGCCCCAGATGCTCTAAGAAGCGGATAAGAAAGTTGGCATAGATGGAAAACAGATTCAAAATTTGTCGACAAGAGGGTTGAAAATTCTCCAGCCGTGAACTCTACCATCGGTTTCCTGATATTCGTTCCCACATTGTTTACCTATATAAGATCTGACAGTAAGTAATCACTACAAAAAAACCTTCCACAAACTCGTAACATACACAAGAATGTGAAGGGCTTATTCCAACTTCTTTCTGAAAGATGTCATCAAAAGAAAGCATCGCCATGTTTTCTTTTGGGCAAATCAACGAACAGGTGATGGGCATTGTACAAGAAAGCCTATAGGAGACGAAGATATGATACGAAGTCTTACAAGTATATTGAGCTTCCCGTCGAAGACAGACGACACAGCCTCCATCAGCATCACCCTCTGATCTCGATCCGAGACATCGCAGACCGACCCAGTAACCCGAAAACCCGAACCGTTCAAGTCCCGCAAGCAATTCTCGAGCTCGCTCTCGTTCCGAGCGCACGTGTGTACCTCCGCACCAAAACCAGCCAATTCCTCCACGACCGCGCGACTGTGAACAAATACATACTAGTTTGAGAACTCGCATCGAAGTTATCTGCAAGGGTACGTACACATTCGGACAAAATTCGGTAAAGGGTACGCGAGAACGAGGTCGTACAAACCCGATTCCGCGAGTGCCGCCGGTGACAAGAGCAGACATGCCGTGGAGAGACCATCTGTCCGGCGTTTCTCCGGCGGTCATGGCGGATGGATTCAACGACGCGCTTCGGCGGACGGAGAGTCCGAATGGGTTGGGCTCTGGGATTCTATGCTTGAACGAGAGGTGCAAGTGAGGTTCAATGGAAGAAGAAGAAGAGGTAAAGCGAAGAATTGGAGATGGCGTTATGTATAGTTGACTAATCATGTCGAGCTCTTAGCGACAGAAACTGAGAAGAGACACCCCAACATAAAATTGTCCAACTCCTGCGAGTGAAAATGGCAACGATCTTGATCTTAAACGAAGACCAAGCCCTTAATAGGGTGAGCCCTACATGTTAAACTGTGTTGTCTTCTTTAATTTAACATCCACATTGCGGGACTTTTGGAGTTTCCTGCAAAATATCAAAATGGTGTGGATCTATCTATATGCCCAAATGTGTTTATATAACACTTCATTCAAACACTTTTGGAACATTTTCTACATCCTGAAACATGAAACCCCAAAACTGGAAAAAGCCCTCAACGTGAATCATTCACAAGCACAAACTTGGTCTGAAACATAGTCAAGAGAGCCATCTGCTCAGAATGGTCGGACATTGCCGGATGTTGCCACTCTCCCAGATGAGAGCCCTTCGGGTCAGGACAGCCGTTCCCGCCCACGTGAAACCTGAACTCTTCTCCCTCTCGGAGCGAAGATGAAAGTCTCGGAGGCACATAGAGAGGCGAAAGCAATGGAATAGCCGTCCCCTCTATGGCGCTAGACGGTGAAAACTGGTTATGAGCCGAGTGATCAAGCTGCAGAGCCGTTGGTGCTTGCCTCTGCAGCCTCGTGGGAGATCTCGGTGACTCCATTTGCTTGTCAAACAGGTTACCGCTCTCATTTTTTATTCCAATTCATTTCAATATGGACCAATTCATTCTGGTTCAAACTCGATTCGTTTTGATTAGGTTACCGCTCTTCTCCATGTTCTTCTGAAACAAAGGACGAGAGATTCACAGAGATAATCAGTAATGGCTGAGAGAGAAGAGCAGGAAAGAGAGAGATATAAAGGGACAGGGTCAAAAGGGTTGATCTTTGGTTGAGGATCTGGCGCAAGAATAAAGGGTTCGGTTATGGTGGAAAATGTGAAGGAGAATTGTGCAAACCTGTTATTGGAAACGGTCATTGGCTAAGAGTTGGTTTCCCTCACGAAGGTCCCCAAAAAAAGGATGAGTGGTGGTCGAGCCGTGTCCGTGTGGCCTCCTCGTTTGTTGACCAGCCTTGAACTTTTGTACATCCGTACCCTAAAGAAAAATATTTGGGACACCAAATAAAAAAAAAACATTTTTACGGTGACACACAATAGAATATACCCAATATACCCGAATCTAGTATATTTGAGAAAAATGTCAGACAAAAGTACAAAGACAGCAAGATATTCTAAGGTTACAACCTCTGAAACTCCTCTTCCATGTCGTTTGAACCGCCACCAGAGCCATTCTGTTCCGCTATGTACAGATTTGACATTAACCCAGTTGCAACATCATGACCATGATGATGATTCGGATCACGACCATCATTAAGATTGTTATAATCGGTCGATGATGACGATGATTCATGCCCGGAAACCACGTAGGTGGACCCACCTGCGGAAACCCTCAGCCGTTGATCCCACGGCGGGAGGAAGATGACGTGGCGTCGCCGCCGGTGAAACCCTGTCTCCGCTTCAGGTAGAGTCTGTACTTCTGGAGATGAGACGCTACGTTCATGCGGCTCAATCCTTCCACGTTCATCATCTGCATAATCGCCTTCGGCACGGCGTTGTTGACGCCCAGACGCCTCACCACGTCCAAGAAACGCCGCTGCAACTCCGGCGTCCACACTATCCTCTGCTTCTTCCTCGCCGTCTCCGCCTTCCTCTCCGGATGTGGAGGCGCGTTTGATACACTGCCGCTCTGGATGGAGTAGAAGGTCGTGACCGAGGCGCGATCCACGTCGGCGACGGTGGGGTTCTGCTGCGGAGAGATTCGGAAAGCGGAAGCTAACCCTTGCGGGATCAATAACTGATACAGCAGCGGAAGATCTGCTCCGGTCGGAAGCCTCACCTCCCGCTCCACCAGTCCTTTGTTGCCGCCTCCGGCGTCGGCGCCATTGATGACGTCAGCCCTGAACTGTCCCATTCATAGACTAACTCCACCACTTCTCGGATCGAGATTTTCAGGCAAAAAGAAAACCCTAATTAATGGATGATGGATAACTAAGTTCTTTGCTCTTTCAGTGTCGTTCCGTAGATAAATAAAGTTGCGATTTTTACGAGCATTAAGAAAAACAGGGGAAAGGGAAGGAGGCGGTGGCGAAACAAAGACGAGATATTATCCCCGAGAGACAACGCTGACGTGGACGACGTAAGATATCTTTTGGATCTTCTTTCGAAGTTATGTCACGTGAGGACGGTCGGTCACTTTCGCTTCGAGTTCTGAAAATCTTGTTTAGTTCTACACACGTTTCTTGCTAGATTCTCTTTGAGCTACCGATTCTGTTTCCAGATTTCAGACAGATCTGTTTGTGATTCTCATGGGTTCTTGGCTCTGTTTTCTGAAATACTACTGATAATTGATTAAACCGAAAAAAGCATATGAATATATATATATATATATATATATAAAAACAGAAAATGCATAAAACGAAACTGTGCTCCTTGGAATGGAAACTCAGGTCATGAAATAAGATACAAGGATTTAGAAAAACCCTAACTGCCTCAAAGACCTAAAAGCATGAACATCTCTCTCTGTTGTACACATTGGCTTATCATAAGCATCTTTGTACACAAGTGAAAGAAAAATCTCAAGAAACATTACTCAATGTACAGATTCCGCAAGAACACAAAGCATCAAACCTTGTTTTCCGGTTTTATAGTTATTGCAAAAGATTTCTCTGCTTAGCTCTGTACAACTCTTTTCAGGCCTTATGCCAACATGGTCATGGATTGTGCAGCAACTCTCCTCTCTGCAGCCATTGTTAAGCCATCAGAAACATTTCCATCCATCGTGCAAACTAAAAGAGAAGACAACGCAAACGGGCATGCACTCTTACAAACAGAAAATGTACCTCCAGCCACGACGAGTTTCTCAACACGGGCAACGATATGCTTTCCGTAAGTGTATTTCTTCAAAGCGTTCAAATGCACTTTTATGCGGGAAAGTATCAGCTCGCGCTGCTGATCGTCGCTCGTCTCTAGAACCTTTTGCACTACGTAGTTTGCAAACTGATCCTTCATCATCGCCTGAAGAGGAAAGGTAAAAACAAAGCATTGAGACAGTTCTGACCTATTATTGGACTATTATCAGCAGATACAGACAAACCTGAAGAGGCTCGTTTTCATCGGTTGTGCCCAGCATCTCACTCACGAGCAGTTCACGCTCTTCAGGACCTCCGAAAGCCAGACATTCCTCAACC